TGTCCGCTGACTGGACTGATATCAGGCAGCAATCCCTCATCCCCTCTCTGAGTGGCTTCCCTCCCAGTTAGACTGAAAAGTCATCAAGGGAGAAAAGAGATGAAACCTCATTGAAATGCAAGTAACATTCCCCGATTTCTCTCTCCTCTCTCCTCGGGGACTTCATGCCTTTCTCTTCCTTCTCCTTCCCATCTTTCTGGTCTCTCCCTGACTCCCTCTTCCCTGCCTTTGTTAATCAGTTAAACTCCCTCTTCAAACACCCCTCTAATTACTCCTCGGCTCTCTGTAAACGACAGGGCTGTCTCCTCGCTCTCTCTTCTCCTCCCTCCCTCCCTCAGCTCCCTCCATCCATGGCAGGGGTTAACCTCTGTCAGCCACTGACCCCTCTGAAGTGTGAGTCTGCCCGTGCGCCGTTAGAAGGCTTTGCGACTTTTTTTCTTGCATTGTTAATGACGTGAGTGGCTTTTTTTTCTTCATTCTTTTATCTTCCGGTTTGACTAAATATGGTGCAGGACTGCGACTTCTCACCTGTGTGTCAGCGTTGGGATGCCTGGACGTCTGCATTCTGCTCTTCTAGAGAACCTGCTCGGTTATTTCTGCTTGACAGCTCAAAACACTTCTCTTATCTTCCACCCATAATTTCTCAACACATCCTTTTCTTTCCTGCTCACAACAACCTCCCCTCTCCCACCTTACCTCTCTCTTCTCTTCCCACTAATCTACCACGCATCTCTCTCTTTTAAATTAACATGCAACATGAAAAAACATGGACGACAGCGGCGGGAGGGGGGGTAGAAAAAATTTAATGCATTTAATAAATCGCTGACTTCAAATCACCCTGCTTTTCAGACTCTCCCTATTCACAGTCCAATGAAAGGGGAGAAATCATTCACCAGGAGAGACAAAGCCGAATGAAAATATAATTCTGCATTGTGAGGCGCTTTTGTCCTGGCCCGTCAAATCGCTAATGGTGAGGCTTTTGTTTTGCGCCGGGGCTCTGAGGCTGGCGGTGTCGTATGGCGGTGGCAACGCATGCCCCATAATCACAACGCTTTGTGATATTAGATTATAGGGGCAATTAATGGCGTCAAACCTTAACGACTCAACATTCAGCCCACCGCCGCGCACACACTCCAACGGCTCCTGCACATGTGGCTCCGGCGTCGCAGGGTAATCCAACACACAGAAAAAAGGTGCTATAACTCCAGTAATTATTACGCCTCTGACTTGAAAATGTCAATGGTGGTGTGTATAAAATAGGATGTATGAGTAGTCGGCGAGGAAGAATGGGATGCACAAGAGCAATTAATTACAGCTTTTCATTTGGCAGCCTAGACTGACAAGGCCTGGCGGCGGGGGCAAGCTGGCATGACGCCAAGCGGCACCCATCACCACCTCTGTCTTCCTCGCTGACACCCCACAACCCTCCACCTCCCTCGTCTGTTCCTTACCAACTGCCATAACGCCAAAGGGTCGCACCTTTCACCTCGCTTTGACTCCCACCTTGCAGCCACACAGCAGAGCTTCTTTCAAAAACAGTCGCCTCTTGGTCCTTAAATGGAAAATTTAGTTATCTGGATTATGATACCCCAAAATAAACCTTGTTGAAACCTTTTTTCCATGTGAATGAAGTCTCAAACATTTTTCATTTCATCTCAGCCTTAATTAAAGCCGGGCATAAACTACGATTTTTTCAATCGTCGCACGCAGCTACAGCTCACCCTGTGCAACGAAACCGCAGGGTTTAAAAGTTCACAGCTCACCATGTATGTTCTCACACTGTGCAACCCGATGCTCTGATGCGACCTACCTGCTCACCCTGTACGTCTAAAAACTACGTCGGACTCAGCTCAGCAGTGACTTGGAGCCACTCGGACTTGTCTATCCGGAAGCCAAACCAGTAGAAGAGTGACATGAAGCTCACTAGAGTGAAACATGCTGCCTTGGCAATTTGTGCAATTTTGTTTCCTGAAAGCCCTAAAAAGAAAAGGTGATGCCATATTGTGACAAAGACATGGCTGAGAACAAGTGGCTTTTACAGAATTTTACAGAAAGAACTCAATTTCACTCGCACACCCGCCATTCTTCTGTGTTTTAGTCCGAGGGGAAGAAGAAGAAGAATCGTTGTTTGCCCACTGAGCGATTTGCCCACGTCCACCTCACGTCAGCTGACTGAATTTCAAACATTCGATTTTCTCCCGACCTCACCATTCCTGATCAGGAGGTGGTCATGAGAGCCATGCTTGTAACAACAGTGGAGAGGAAAACTCCCTTTTTAACAGGAAGAAACCTCCAGCAGAACCAGGCTCAGTGTGAGCGGCCATCTGCTGAGGCCCACTGGGTCTGGGTTCAAGGAGACAGAAGCAGAGATACAGAAAGCAACTTTAAAAGGCGGCACCATCCAGGAAACACACAGCCAGGCAGACGAGCTCTGAGCCAGCTCCCATGTCTGAGGATGAAGAGAGCACATCCAGCCAGTCACAATCAGAGAAACAGGACAACACTGAAAAACAGGCAGATCTTCAACATCTACATATAAACAACGGTGTTTAAAGTACTGATACTGCAGTAAAAGGGTCCCTTACAGATTAGAACACAGTAACTTATATTTTATCAACTTTGCATTGAAAACCTGGACAACATTTAGACACATTTATCAAGGGATGTGAATACTTTTGCATAACACTAGATATGTGCACTACGGTCCAGGACATCTGCTGCTTATCACTGGTCCATCCGTGAGAACCATTTTTTTCCATTTTCACCATCAAACTGAGGACTGGTTGTAGGACAGTTTTCCTATCCTCATTTCATGTTTTGCGATTGGGTTTAGGAACAAGGTGTGAATGGAGTTAAGGTTAGGTATGCAGTGGTAATGGTTTGGCTTATTGTCAGGATTAGGGCCTTAGGGATGAAATAATGATTTAGTCATTTATTAATCCTTAACTGCTGTATGCAGATTGAAGTATTTTTTACATAAAAAAACTCCTCAAGTGACAGTTGATTTTCTGTGTAAAATCTTCTTTAAAGCAGTTTTGTCATCTGATTATTAATTGATTACTTAATAAAATAAGCGTTTAGCTAAATAACCTCTAGCTGCAGCCCTATAGGTTACAGAAAGGGTGAGAAATGTCCATAAATCAATGGAAGTCATTGCTGGTTGACAAATGAGCTTCACTGTATGTAGCTAGATGAGGATGAGTGGCAGCTGGTAACGAGGCAGCTGGTATTTATAGCTGGTATTTATAGAGTCAATTTGACTCTTTATAGATGTAATCTAACAGTAATGGTTCACCTCTGTTTCCCTCTTAGTTTCTTCCACCCGCTCCGGTGTTTGGGAAATGAGCAGCTCCTCAGTAAAGCTGCTGTTTTATCTCAAATAAACACATATATTCACTTATAAACACCATAATACAGATTGATAACTTGTATCTTTTGAAGTAGTAATCTCTTTTTTTATCTTTAAGGTATTTTCCTAACTAAAATACTTCCATCCTTTGTTCCGTTTTTTAACTTTACTCTTTCACTTTTGTTGCTCCGCGAGTTATTGAACAGAAAAGGGCTTAGTCAGCAGGATTCCTGCTCCTTTTTTTCCCCTTTTCTTTCTTTTTTTTTTATCCAATTGCAGTCTCAGTTTCAGATTTGTGCAGTAAGCTTTCCCCCAGAGTTGTTGTTTGTAATCAGATTAGCATCTCTGCATGTTTCTGTGTCCAATGCAAGAACATAAAGGAGGGTTTGCACAACACCATCTGCAGTTAAAAAAAAAAATCCCAACTCTGTAATGTCTTCCCGTCTCTCTGCCTCTTTACGTGCCTGCAGCTCTAATCTGATGAGATACTCATCTCATCAGATACGCAACTTTGTTGTTCCTTTTTCCTCTCTCAGCTGGGTCAGGGAGAGAATCGACGACAGTCGTAATCATGTGTTTATAAAAGCAGATAAGGTTTTATATTTTATTGGTAGATTGCATATCTGTCCTTTCTTCTCTGGCAGCAGCGATGGAAATTGGAGTTTTCTTCTTTTTTTTTTTTTTTATACAATGCCAGCCTTGTTGCAGGAAAATGTCAACAGCGTGAATGTGTTTTACTGCGTCTCTCTATTTGTCTTTATCTGATGTTGCCAGTTTTTTTTTTCTTCCTGAGTGACAACAGAGAACATGAGAGAACACACCTCCCTGGCTTACCTGCCCATACCGGCCTACAGTATATCCAGATTGTACTGCAGGCTGTTTATTTTAAGTTGAGCATTCAGCGGGCACAGTCATGTCTAAGGCTTCCTGCACCAACAGAGGCTTTTTAACACAAAAGTTCACCTCATACGGATTAATTTCCTCTCGTTTTGCATGTTAATATAAATATTAGGATGCTTTTAACATGGGATTCTCTACGGAGTGACTTTGGTTCTATTATTGTTGCAGCAAAGAACATGTTTTGTAAATGGAATTTTGAAACAGATGCAAAACATAAAGTAATCTGCTTTTTTCCCTAATTTTTATTTATTAATTTTGTTTTTCACAGATTTTATATTTTGAAAATATGGTTTTGGTTTTTTCATTTTGTATTTAGAATTTTTTCAAATTAAGGTGTATGGATTGTGTTTTACAGATCAGATGAGGCATTTCTATTGGTCTACTAGGACGTTAAGAACAACATTGTATTGGTCAATATGTGCGCTTGTATTTGGCTTGAGGTGAAAAAATTTGATCTGTGACATATAATTTGAAAGGAGTGCAATTCCTAAACTCAATGTAAAGAACAAAAATGTCACAGAAAAAGACAATATAAAAGCTGTAAAAATGCTAGATGTGAAAATGTGGCATCTGTAAAAAATATAAAATACATTTGAAAAAATAAGATCTGAAACAATCTGAGAAAACTGCAAAGTTATTCTCATAACCTTTTTTTTTTTTTGCAAAGATTTTTTAAAAGTTTTCTTTATGTATTTCATTTTGTTTTCCCACCAAAGTTCACTCCATACTTCTCCCTCTGTCTCGTCTTCAGGTTCCCGTCTCCATGGCCATGATGAGCCCACAGATGATCACTCCTCAGCAAATGCAACAGATCCTGTCCCCTCCTCAGCTCCAGGCCCTGCTGCAGCAGCAGCAGGCTCTTATGCTACAGCAGGTACAAACTCCACGCTTTGTGCTCACTTAGCCCAGATAATCCCTCTTTTCATACATGTTATTAAAACAGCTTTGAGCAGAACCATTTCAGTCATTTTAATTCCATTTCTTAAACACAGACATTATTTATGTCAGAATCAACCAGATATGTGTGTATATACAAGGAATTTGATTTTGGATTTGACGTTATTGTTGCAATAACGCAGTAATACAGTCATACAAACAACATATATGGATTATACGAACAAAATAGAGAATGGAGCAGACTGAAATTATGCAAATAGAGGATTATAAATTTAATAAATACGTGGTAGAGTTGCTGGGCTGTTGCACAGGGGTAACTCCTTACACTGAGTCAGTCAGGTTTTTATTAGCATGATGACTTATGGGACGAAAGCTTTCCTGAAACTGTTGCTCCTACCTATACTCCAGAAGTTGGAAAAGGTTGTGAGCATTGTAAACTTGGTCCGCTGTGATTTTTCCTGCAAATTTCCTGGCTCTGGAAAGTGCGTAACACCTTAAAGAAGGACCTGACTGACTGTTTATCGTCAGCGCCTGAGGTTGGCTGTTTAGGGGGTTAGATCCAAACCTGAGAGTGAATCACATCCACTGCTGGAGATTCTTAATGATGTGATCTTTTCAAGCATCTTTAATTACTTTAAGACTATGGCTTCTTGTTTTATAGAGAACGTGAAAATACTGTGTGACTGAAGACAAAAACAACATTTTGCATCTTTCCAAAAAAGTTAGAAAGACGTTTTGCTTCCCATCTAGGAAGCTTTTTCAATTAAAATTTTAATTGAAAAAGCTTCCTGGATGGGAAGTAAAACGTCTTCAAACTTGGAAACAAAGTCTTGTTTTTTAACCTTTTTTGGAATGGCTATGACCTGGATGACTGAGAATCTTCACCAGCAGCATTTAAGTTTCATTGAAGAATATCTTGTCATTCAACATTATTGTTTTATATACCTATTGTGCAGATACTACATAATATGAAACGTTTGCATATTAACATGTCGAATTTGACTTGAATAAATCTGTTTACTGGCGGCAGTAGGTTTTCGAAAAACTGAAATTGAGGCACCATTGTGTTATCTTGTGCGCTGAGAGAATAAAGTGACTTCATGCTCTAAAGATATTCAGGAATTAACCTAAATAAACGCTGTGAGAGAAATGTAATAGTTCCCCCATTAGATCATGGATGCGCTGCTGGTTAAAGCTGGTTATTTGCGTATTCTCCTCACCCATCAGCTTGACATCACAATATTTAAACATAAAGATGTCAGTGGAACAGAATGTTTAGAAAAAAACACAGCTCTGGATTCCAGCTCCAACATCATTTCATCAGATGCAGCTACAGAAGCTCAAAGCAAGGAGACACCTAAAGTAATCCACGGGCTGCGGGAATCGAACCCTCATTCTGGAGTTTATACTGATCATATCATTTCGGTGGGAAGTTATTGAGTTATGTTTGAGTGAAGTGAGCAATTTGTTTAGAATAAATACAGACAGTTGGTGTCTAACCAAAGTTCAGTAGATCCAACAGTTTAGAGTGGATCTCAGATGCTTGATTGTTTTTCACAGAAGCAGCTGGTGCATGATTTTAAGTTTAGAAGAAGAGACGGCTGATATTAAGCTGCATCTTTTAAACTATTATTTCCTTTGCATTTCCAAAAAGAGTAAAAGTTTCACAAATCTCAAACTTTATGAAAGACTTGGAAAATCAGAATAAAAATATCTTGCCAGGTTTGATACATTTTAGTATTTTCTAATTTATAATTCAAATAATTTTTTTTTTTAGCATAAAATCCAAAATGCAGCAGCAGTAAAGGCTCCAAGGTGTTTTAATCAATGCTTTCTTTTCCTGTAGCTAACAGTACTTCCTTTCTTCTTTCAAAATAAGATTTTCATGAATAAAAACATTGTTTAGTTTTTATCAGCGGCTCACTATAACCTTTTAAACTTTGTTGTGATGGATGAAGATGGAAAAGAAAGATATGGAGGAAAAAATGGTCCTGAAATCTCTGTTGTCCTGATTTTCCTGTGTTTTCTTCTCTGTGCATATTTTCTTGTATCCTTTCTTCTTTTATTTTTTTTTTTCATTTTCTTATCACTCTTTCTTCATCCTTCATTATTTTCCTGTCCTTTCTCTTTATCTTCCTTTTTTTTATCCTTTCTTTTTCTTATATCCATTTCCTTCCTCATTTCTCATACTCTTTACTTTTGTGTTTCTTCAATTGTTCCTTTCCTTTTATGCTTCCTTCCCTTGTCCTATACCTGTTTCAATCCTTCCTTGCTCCCTTCATCTGTCCTTTCCTTGTGTATTTTCTTACTTAAAGCTCAGTCTTCATTTATCATCCTCTCTTCTCATCAAACTTTAATATTTTTTAGATTTCTCAGTTGATTCTGAAAAAGTTTTACATAAGAGGTGCGTAGAAATCCCCTTTTTGGGATTTTTGCAGATGAGTAAAATGACCAGCTGATTTTTTGGGGGATAATGTGAAAGTATCCCTGTGCTCAGCTTTACAGACAGATTTGCTGTTTAGCATCAAAACATCAGTCATAGTGAATCAGAAGTGTGTATGATGCTGATGCTTGGCCCCTTGATAGTAGGGGTTGCCATGTCGACACTACTCAATAAACACTCTTTAGCTGTAGTGGATTTGTCAAATGCATAGCTACACCGACACATTCCCGCCTACCTGCACGAGCAAAGCACACACGCCGGCACCATAAAGGCTGTGAATTTGCCTCCTAACAGCTTGGAGACGCAGGAGTAATTGCATGGTAGTGGATAGTGTAGAAAACTGGAGCGCAGACTGTATATTTTAATAGGAAGGGGTAGCTTTAGGTAAGTGTAAATTGCGGTGGGAAGATCTGACAACATGTATCACAATGGAAAGTGGAAAAAGTGCCGGCTTTCTGAGAGCAGACATGAAAAAAATGACAGAGATCCTCCTTGCTGGTCCTTTTCTGCTCTTTTATCGTCCTTTATTTTCTGTAACGAGGGAAAAGAAGACGCACCATGAAGAAGGGGGGGGGTGTGATAAAGCACTCTCATTGGCTTCACCGCTAATAAAAAAACCACAGAGTTTAACATTGCTCTCCCACTAATTAACCACAGTATGGGCCATGCACTTAGTGTATATCTGCAAATCAGCCACTTTTACCCACACATGCACACATATAGGACAATCAACCAACACATCACTCACTGAAGCATTAAATTTCATATCCCCATGGCAATAGTGCCCTGTGTAAAATTGTGTGCATGTTTTACAGCCCATTGCTTCAAAGCAGATGTGTGTTTGCATGAGTTCCAGGTTGTGGATGCAACCTTTAAGTTTCCTCCAACCTCTACTTCTGCTGTGGCTGCTTTGCCTTTTTTGTTCACTACATTTTCCTCTAAAGTCAAGGTCATGGTAATAGGCTGAAGAGGTGAGTGCCTCACTTATACATACACTTAATGTACAGAGCCACTGAATCAAATCATTAAAAGACTGTAATTATCACTTAATTATTCCTTCAACTCACCGCTCTGCAGCCGAGGTTGTATATATATGTGTGTGTGTGTGTGTCTGCTGGTGAATGTTCGCACTTGCATATGCATTTGTCTGTGTTATTAGGAGGCGATCAGGGCTAGTGACGCAGAAAAGAGAGATTAACTCTGCCTAAGGAGTGATAAAAGAGAGATGGGGAATAAAAGAAAGAACAGCAAAAAAAAAGGACTGAGTCCTGCATTTAAAATGAATTAAGCACAAAAAAGAATGTCGTAAGGGTAAAGCTGTAAATTATAAAAAGGAGAAAGTGTGTCTGAAGCTGGATAATATGAAACAGCTTTGCTTTAAGAAAAATAGAAAAAAGAAGAGAGAGCTTGGGATGGGATGTGTGCGGCGAGGATGGGCAGCGGTGTGTAGTCTGCTCGCCGTAGGGTCAGACGGATGAGAGACCGTAGCAACTGCTGCGCTGTGAAGTCATTCCTTCACTGAAAAGCCTCTTTGAACATTTGATGCACCATGAAACAAAGACAAACTGCAGATGGACACTTGTACAAGCTGTTCTCGGGAGAATAACCTCCCTTCCTCCTCTCCTCAGCGCTCACTCACGCTCACACAGACCGAGATGCTCTGTGGTCACTGGGGTTTGTTTTTCGCCCCTTTCCCCTCAGCTGAAGATATTAATCTTAATGGAACTTCCTGGGTAAATTAATGATTACTAACTCAAACAAACAGACAAGCTGTGGCCAGTCAGAGGAGGCCGAACATGTGTGACTGTATGTTTTCATAGGGATTAGTGTGTGTACTGGTGTGCATGTGTAATTCATTCCCGTAATTTTATCAGACTAAAGGGTGTCACTTTTGGTAAAATGAAAATATTGACTCATAAACTTGCTTTTGCATACCTTTAAGAGGAAGCTGTCCCTTATATCCATATAAATCTAGCTTTTCCAGGCTTTAGAGGTTTTTAGAACATTGGTGAACAAACAGAATCATGAAGAACAATGATGAGATTAAAAGGTGTTTTATGCCATCTAAAGTTAACTCTAACATCATGAAATTGAGCCTTTTAATACAACATTGATTCACAATGAAATAGAACTTGTTTTTTGTCATTATTCCCAAGCCAGAAGAAAGATACTTAGTTTTACTGGGACGCCGCTTCTGAGTTGTTTACATCAATAGGATAAGCTGCTGCACTTTCATTGAATAACTTTCACAACTAACTGATACACTAGCAACCATTCAAAATCGCCCTTCCCATTCAAATGGCAGCCTACTCCCCTGCGACTTCCAGCCAAATCCCCTCCAACTTCCATTCACAGGCCTTCTGCTGGATGTGCATTTTTTTACTCTGACTCCACCCTTTCACTGATTTACAGGGTCTGACCAGGAGGTGATGCTTCTCTTCAGATCTTAATGTCCACAAATCATTACAGAAAAAAATATTTTGGTACAAAGATTGATTTTTAAAAGGAGTTTTCGGGGACCAGGGAATTTTGAATGACTACTACTGTATGTCCTCCAGCATACTAAGCCTATAGCAGCAGAGCTGTAGATATAGCTCATGATAACCCAAGCCGCTCTGACTATAAGCTTAATCAAAAAGGAAAGTTTTAAGCCTGGTATTAAAAGTAGACAGGGTGTCCGACTAAAACTGTAAGCTGGTTCCATGTGAGAGAAATGTCCACAAATCATGACAGAAAGAATATTTTAGTACAAAGATTAATGTTTAAAAAGGAATTTTAGAGGTTCAGCTAACGACCATCAAGGAAAGTGGGGAAATTTTGAATGGCTGCTAGTGTATTTAATTTTGAGTATCAAAAAGTATGTACAAGCAGTCTAAGATTCATAATCACTGGACAAAAAGCAATGTAATACAGTGTTATGTTACATGGTTTTAGCTAGCATATTGTTGCATTAGCTTTTAGCCTGAAGAGCATGAAGTCGGATTGACGTACCGGTGTCCTCTGTCCCTCAGCTGCTGTCATGGACAACATTGCATTGTATTTAAAGACTAAATAAATCCACACTGGTTCTGGAGGTTCTTAAATCTGTCTGCACCAAGTGCAAAGAGACATTTTCTTACCTCTTGGTTCAGAGCTTCTATAAATGTTTCTGCTAAATGCTTTCCTGTCTTGGGAGTTTAAAGTTGTTCTTTGACTATAACATCAACAGCATGTTCCCTAACTTTTCTAGGTCCCTAGTTTTGTTAGTGCAAGGAGGTGAGGTGGTTACAGATCTTACAATGACTCTTTTTGAGGAGAGAAATCAGAACAGGTTCTTTTGGAGATGTGGGAGGAGCTGCCAAGTAGAGCAAACTGTTGTTGATGTTGGAACAGGGCCGAATGACCAAAAGTAGCATTCGTATGAAGTATTTGACAACAAAATAACATTTTTGAAAGGTTAAAAAAAGATCATGAACCTCTCATGTTTATCCCTGAACGCATCCTCTGTGGCACCATCATGATGTAATTGAACTTTATTGATCTCATATTGGAGAAATTTACATTTGCTCCTTGGGGAGCAGTGGGCTGTCATAGTGGGGTGCACAGTGAGCAGTGCGGGGTTAAGGGTTTTTGCTCAGAGAGCCAGAGTGGCAGTCCGTGGGAGTGGGGCTCGAACTCAGAACCTCATGATTCCAAGCTCTATGCCCTAACCACTAGGCTGCCACTCCCAGGGATGCTTTTCTTCAGCAGGGACAGGGGCGGTTGGCCAGCTAATGGGAAGATGTATGCAGAGAGATGGGGGGCGATCCTGGGTAAATATGGGGTCACTCATGTCTACTCTTAATAAAGAACTGGGAAACCTTTCAATCTTTAGATTAGCAGAACTGGTAGAGCCTAGAGACTTCCAGCTGTACTTTTTCTGAAAAAAAAAGTAGGATTTTTCCTACTTTGTAGGAATGTGTACTCCTTTGTGTCAGTTTTCAATTAGTATTTAAGACCTTGTGCAATAACCTGTTTCTTTATATTTGATACCCAGTGCAATAGTTATATACAGTAGGTAAATACCCATCTACATAAATACCCTGTCCAATAACCCTGTATGATAATCCTACTTTAGATATTTATTTATATAATGCTACGCACTGTATATACTGTATATACCCTCATGCATTTTTCCTTCCTTTGGCACCTTTTTCTTCTTTTTGTCTATTTGAGCTGATGTATCAAGTAAATGTCTCCACTGTGAGATTGCTTAAAGGAATGCTTTAAGAGCTCATATCCCCATTATTAAAGCTCTAACGAGCTTTTATATTCAACATGAGGATGTTTCTGCTGTTTAGTGAGAGGAGACCAGGCTTCTTCTATGTTGCTTTGCTTTGGAGCTTGTATTGATTGATGGATTGAATTAAAGGAATAGTACACCCAAAACATGATTAGCCTTCATTTTCTCCTCACCCCCATGCTGAACAACACTCTGGAGTACTTTTTTGATATCTCAAATGCATCTGGAGATCTGGGAGGCTTCTTGCTGTCTGCTGACATTCAAATAATGGAGGTCTATGGTGCCCGAGGCAGAAAGGTCCATAAAAGTCCACAAAAAACGTGTCAATATTCCTCCATACTGCTCGTCCAATGTATTCCAAGTGTCCTGAGTGGGTAGCGTCCATAATTTACTCGAAACAAAGTCATTTAGAATGTTTTTAGAGCATAAACAGTAGTGTATAGGATTTCCTAAAAGCGCGTTCACGAGTCTACGGAAACCGCGGCAGACCAAACCAGATGAAAGAGCGCATTCAGCTCGGCAAAGAACTCATGCTCTTCCTCAACAATGAAGTCCTCAGACATTTTTCTTTCGTTGTTTCTTTCTTTGCACAGGTAAACAGCACATTTCTTCTTCTACGCTTGCATTATCAAGAGCAGACGCTGAATGCGCACTTTCATCTGGTTTGGTCTGCCGCAGTTTCCGTAGACTCGTGAACTCGCATGCGCGCGCGTTTAGGAAGTCCTATACACTACTGTTTATGCTCTAAAAACATTCTAAATGACTTTGTTTCGAGTAAATTATGGACGCTACCCACTCAGGACACTTGGAATACATTGGACGAGCAGTATGGAGGAATATTGACACGTTTTTTGTGGACTTTTATGGACCTTTCTGCCTCGGGCACCATAGACCTCCATTATTTGAATGTCAGCAGACAGCAAGAAGCCTCCCAGATCTCCAGATGCATTTGAGATATCAAAAAAGTACTCCAGAGTGTTGTTCAGCATGGGGGTGAGTAGAAAATGAAGGCTAATCATGTTTTGGGTGTACTATTCCTTTAATTCAATCCATCAATCAATACAAGCTCCAAAGCAAAGCAACATAGAAGAAGCCTGGTCTCCTCTCACTAAACAGCAGAAACATCCTCATGTTGAATATAAAAGCTCGTTAGAGCTTTAATAATGGGGATATGAGCTCTTAAAGGAAAATTCCGGTTTTTAACACTTTTAGCCCATTTTCTGTAAATAAAACACTACAGGAACGTTTTTTCTTTACGAAACTTTTTTTGGAACGTCATTGAACAGCGCTGACAACCCGGTGAGTAGCATATTTTAAAAAAAGAACATTTAAGGTTGTTTTAAGGACATTATCGGGCATGCACTATGGAAGCCATTCTAAAGCAGCCAGGGGGGGATTCTGCATGAGCCAAATAGCAGAGACAGGACCAATATGCTCTATGCACAGCTCCACTACTTCCTGAATTTAAGGCAGCTCCTTTGTTTCCTGTCTTTCATGATTGGATGCACTGATTAATCCAGGTGTGTATGACCTAAGTAACTGGCCAGACACACCTGGATTAATCAGTTCGTCCAGTAATGAAAGACAGGAAACAAAGGAGCTGCCTTAAATTCAGGAAGTAGTGGAGCTGTGCATAGAGCCCATAGTCAAAATTTTGGTGTCGATCATTCAAATGCATCCTGGACACTACAGAAAATGGGCTAAAAGTGTTAAAAACCGGAATTTTCCTTTAATATATAGAGGATGCCTGTTCTTGGAATGATTACAAAATATAAAAATCTCACCAACATGTTTTCCAATCGTACAACATCCCAGTAAATATCAGTGAGGTCTGTAGTGGGAAAAGATGCCAAACGTTAAAGTGAGTGTGAATACTTTTGGCAGCGACTTTACGTGTTCAATGTTATCCATTTCATGCCAACTTATATGAATGGTCTGCCTCTTGTATTCCAGGTACAACACTGAAACTCTGAACGATCAGAAAGATTTAACCTTAATCTGCGCGGTCACACAGACACACTTAAACACCTGCATGCGACTAGTACCACAGCCGTCTCTCCCAGATCATTTTTTTTTCTTTTGTTTGTTGCTACTGGTTTTGTCAATAAACCACAAACCACCAAAACAACACGCTGTGTCTTCAATCATGAGTGGAGGAACTCGAAGCATCTTTGCTATTTGAGTCTCCTTGTTTAGAGATTGTTCCAACTCTGGTGGATTATTTGCTTCTTCATTGTGTGTTTGGACTCACTCACCTCCTATTCTCTTCTCCCTGCCTTTCTGCACCTATCCATAGCTACAGGAGTACTACAAGAAGCAGCAGGAGCAGTTGCATCTCCAGCTTCTGACTCAGCAACAGCAGCAGCAGCAGCAACAGCAGCAGCAGCAACAGCAGCAGCAGCAGGCCGGGAAGCAGGCGGCAAAAGAGGTGAATTCTCACTCAGCTCAAGCACACTCTGAAGGAAAGAAGTGCCTTTAAATGCTGCAAAGTGGTGAATGTGAGAGAGGGAGAAAAAAAGGGCACAAGGATGGAAAATATGGAATAAAGATGCAGTAGGTTACTGTTCTTCTCCTCCAATTTTTTTCTATTTTAATGTTGGTTGGAGCACAGATATGAATCCTAAGGCCTGATCCCCTCCACATCCATGTGATTTTAATTCACATGGATGTGGATTAAAATCAGTAATAACTAAAGGTGACCAACCCTCTTCAGCTGTGTAGCTGTCCTAATAAGGTTTTTTCGTCTGCAGCTAAAAAATAGCTTACCAAATATATTTTTATAGATAGACCAGTGCTTCATTTTTTTTCTCGCTTTCTCACACATTCTCAGACTCACACAGGTACAATATGCAAAACTACTCAAACATTTGCAGGTTTAACAGACACTGTGGTCCTAGGCTGCAAATCAGTCTAGAAAATAAGAAAACAAACACTCCTACTGGCATTTTTACTCTTAAAGCTACAGAGAAGCATTTCAGCATTATGCATAATTATTGTATCATAAACTCCTGATTGGCTGATGAGCTGAGTCCTGATTACTTGGCTGTCCAGGCTACTCAGGTACAGTTAAGGCCAGTTAATGCTCAGAAACCAGGTCGTCTGCATGTGTGTCGCAGTTAACTTAGATATGCACCGCTCCAAAAACTCCAATTCTACATTGGTTCTACACTATGCATATTTCCTGTTTTGTACCCTACCAGCTTGTTTTGTTCGTATGACCGCCATTGTGGAAAACAACTTGTGAAGATGGACCAGATAGAAGAAGGGACCCTTTTTCCACCTGGATGACTGCTCTTTTTCACCCTCTTGTCCCTCCGTTGTTGCACAAACTTGACCCCACCTCTTTGCCACCTCGGCCATATCTCGACCCACAGCTAGTTCGTGATTGTCCCTCTTGCCTTGTGGCGTGGAATAACATGGCGCAGATCACGCATCAAAATTGGGCATAAATCAAAAATATCTGCACCAAGCTCACTGCGACACACTGCTGCAGAAGTATAGCCAGCCCTTAAGACTGATGTGATCGAACTGCGACACACAAAGGAGAATCTAGATCATTCAGACATAATTAACCAATAACACCTGTAAGGTAGAGAACGGTAACATCATATATGTGTTTAATTGTGATTCTAATGTTATAGTGATGATACTAAGAAGAAACAGAGGAAACACTTCAAGAGAAAGAGCCTCTGAGAGATTGAAGAAGAAACACATCCTCATATTTGTACTCCTCCTCTCCCTGTGGACAGAGCCCCCCACCCCACCTCAGCCCACATGCTCCTCGCTGACAGCGGGCAACCGACTCAACCGTGACCAAAGCAAACCAGTTGTGGTTGACTCGCATGTTGAGCGGGTGTCTGAATGGCTTTCCCGTTCTCCCCCCATGCTCCTCCGCTGTCCCAGTTTTCAGGTTGCTTGTCCTGTAACAATGAGACAAGTGCAAACGCTGGTCACAATGCCACGCTTACACGCAGACAGAGAGTGAGAGGCTTGATGCGTGACGCCTCACACATACACCTGAGGGAATATGGCTCCCCGCAGAGCTGCGAGTAGCTGATGTGGCCGAGGTCGCCGGGTGTGAGCTGCTGACATACTGCGCATCAATAATCAATCGTCTTCTGGCATGCAGTGCACTATAGATGCTACGATACGTTATTTGTTGTTTTACCTTTATTATGCTTCTTTCTCTCTTAACCTGTTAACTGCTCACAAAAAAAAAAAAAAAATCACCCAAAAAGATTATGAAGATCTTGGAAAAGCAGAAATTAAATCCATAATCTAGCCTGCCCTATACAGCCGTAGGGCTGATGGACAGTAGCCTTATTAAGGCTGCAAATTTGGAGCCGCCACATACGTCCTGTATACGGTCAGTAAACGGGTTAAGCTCAAGCAAGCTTGGATGTAAATCAAACAAAGAGGAAAACTGATGGAGCAAATCTATGAAGGAAAGAAGAAAAAACTCCTCCCACTAACTTTTGGAAGTGTTTGTACATCAGTGACTAGGACTTTTTGCCCTTTTCGCTCTCAGCTGCAATTTATTTTTCAAGTCCAAGGCTTTGTGGAAGCGATGCATTGAAAGGAAAACGATGTATGTGCACGCCGAGTGTGTCGCTTGAGCATTTGGGACTGGTCAGAAGTCAGCTTAATGAAGTGACTCTGACCGTCACAAAAAGATGCGTGCCTTGGTATGTGCGTGTCGGCGGGTTGTCCATCTCTTTGTGTGTGCGTACATGTATGCTTCTGTGTGACTGGCAGGCTCAGACAGTGTGTGATGTGCTCATAAATCACATTGACAGCCTGTTACTGCGCTAGCTTTGGCCACTCAGCCACAGCTAATGTAAACAGAGCCCAGGCACACACACACACGTTCATCGGCTCGGTGTGTGTGTTTTAAAGAACTGTGGCCATATCTCAGGAGACAATGAGAAGGAGGGGTGGGGGGTGTTGGACAGACAACTTTGAAAATGAGGGCCTTGGAGAGAGAAAGAGAGAAATGTAGGAAGGAAACAGATCTAATCTGCCAGGACCTTCTGATCAACAGTTTATTTCGACCAACAATAGTCTAGTAATTCAGTTCAAAAGATTGAATTTTTCTTAGTATGACAAAGATCATCGGACCTGCACGAAGTGATAATTCACTAAGTACTGCACAGTAAATCTCTGGTGGTGACAGAAAAAAACAAATCAGACAATCTTATTTTCAGGGTACTAATAAAGAAAATAACCTCTAATTTGTTCATTAGCTGGTAGTTTTCTTTTTTAGATCTTCACACCTTCTTCTTAATCACCTCACTCAGAAAAAAACTGCAACGATTCATAGAAATTGAAAGAAAGAAATTCATAGAAAAAAAGAAGATTTAATGAATATAAATAAATGAATGGAACCACTATGAAGGATTAGGCGCTTTGGGTGGATCGTGAGAAAGATGAGCTCATCTGAAGCGACATATGAAGAAATGAAAGCCTTCTGTAGGAGTTTTTCTGTGTAAACTAGGATTTGCAGGATCATTTCAGTTCCACCTCAACAAACAAATGTTTAGAGCTCTCGGTGAATAGAGTCCTCATGCAGGGCAAGGTTGGCTTTAAACATGCTGTTGATGTGCAACAAATCAAACTGTGACGTTAAATTATCCATGCAAAGAATATGGTGCTGGTAGTGGTCCTCCGCCCACGTCCAGCTCTCACATAAACACACCGCTACCACACTTTTCCTCCCCGGGCACCAAGTCTGAGAGGAAACGACCTGTTTGCCCTTCCTGTGAGTTCTTCTCTGTTCAAAGACTTCCAGGCTGCTACTCTGTTTCAGGCACAATGAGAAGTTATATTTATTTTTTTTTTTAGCTCGCCAGTTATCGCTGGGTGACAATGTTTAACGCTCTTAGGGGTTTAGCTGGTGTGGGGTCAACTTGGGGTGATGGTTGGGGCAAACGGTACAGGTCTGCTACAGACTGACACAGCAGGAAAGGGGGCATTTAATCACCTCGACTCACACACAGGCTTTATCACCAAATTCCATGAAGTCTTCTCCCCTGTCATTTTAAAATCCTTTAATACTCATATCTTAGTTCAACTTCCTCGGATTGAAATATTCATTTTTTCTTTCTGGTAAAAGGTGATGATGTCTCGCTTTGTCTTAAAGAATCAGAAAATTAGTCCACGTTTCTTATTGAAAGCATGTTTTAACAGGAAACAGTCATAACTCTTAACTGATTTTGCATTTTTTTGACATAAAAACCTGCAAACCTTAATGTATTTTTATGACTTTTATCTGATATGAGATTTTTTTTACAACATAGTGCATAACAGCGACATGAGAGAAAACTCTTAGAAGTGTGGCAGTTAGGCCTACATGTGTTCCACAGATATTACTCTCATATATCTAAATACAAATACGCCAACATCTGTGGCTGTTTGCTAAAGTGATCCATCAGAGGGTTATTAGGGAATATTAATGTGTATCAATTCAATTCAGTTTGCTTATATAGGTCCAATTCAAAACACATGTCATCTTAAAGCACTTTACAGAGACAATACTGTCAGATCATACAAACAGATTGGTTCAGTTTTCTACCCAAGGAAAATCAGCTGACCACATCCAGTCACTGCCTTTACAGGATTTGCTTCTCCTGAATGAGTACTTGGAGTCAGCGTTCCCTTACATTTTACCGTTGACCTTACAGCAATCCCTCACACCAAGCATGCATGCAGTGACTGTGGACAGGGAAAGCTCCCTTTTAACAGGAAGAAACCTCCAGCAGAATCAGACTCAGTGTTATCGGCCATCTGGGGGTTCAAAGAGACAGAATCAAACATGCAAGAGGAACATAGAAGCATTGATTGTGAGAAAGTGGTTAAAATATCAGAGGAATCTGGAACCAGTGGCTGCTGTTTTTTTTATGTTTTTTTTGTTCCCCTTGCTGATCCTTGACCAAGCTACCTCACATGGATCCATTGATGTTAGAACAGGTAACTGTAACCTAGCTCCACAGGTGGCTCTGTCTAGGAAAGCAAAATATCAGCAGATGAGCTCAGAGTCAATTTTTCATGTCAAAAAGGATGAAAGAGAGAACATCTAGTTAGTCACAGTAAAAACTGAGCCCATAGTTATATCTAAGAGAGAAACAGGACTAAATGCTAAAAAAAAACAGGCCCAACTCAATGATCTATGATGAAAGTTGTTGATGGCACCGGCCTAGCTGATACCTTCCCCTAGGATGTTCTCACACCCAGACAGGACCATTCCTGATGAAGCTATGATGAGAAAAACAGAGATCATTAAGTTGGGATTTAAATGAGCAAATTCTGCAGAGTTGGAGAATAGGGGTAGAACGTTTTCAGAGTGAAAAAAGAGGACCTACAGTAGCACCCTTTTAAAATGGCCCTTCCCAGTCAAACGCCAGCCGAATGGCAGCCCACTTCCCTCCAACTATCAGCCACTGGAATGACCCCCTCTTTGCATATTTTTTTACTCTGACTTCACCTTTTCACTGAATTAGTCTGACAAGGAGATGACACTTCTCTTTAGATCTTAATGTCCACAAATTATTACAGAAAGTATATTTTAGTACAAAGGTTGATGTTTAAAAACGAATTGTAGGGGACCAGCCAAGGGCCCATCAAGGAAAGTGGGGAAATTTTGAATGGCTACTACTGTATGTCCTCCAGCAGTCTAAGCCTATAGCAGCATAGCTATAGAGATAGCTCATGAAAACCCGAGCCCCTATAACTATAAGCTTCATCGAAAAGGAAAGTTTTATGCCTAGTTTTAAAAGTAGACAGGGTGTCTGACTAAAACTGGTACAATAGCTGGTTCCACGTGAGAGGAACTTGATGACTTAAATATCCACCTCCCATTCCACTTCTTCAAAAAGTTGGACACAGTCTAGGTTACCCATAGCTGTTTGCCAGAATGGTCCAGTCAAAGTCTACAATGCTTTCTGCATTGAAATAAAATGAAAAGACTGAATGCAAAAAAGGGGTTTGAATACTTTTTTCAAGGCATTGTAAGTAATTTTGGTGTACAGCCTAACTTCTGTGACCTTCCCTTCTCCCTGTCTGAGAGCAGCTCGGCAGTAAGCAGCTGGCCTTCCAGCAGCAGCTGATCCAGATGCAGCAGCTTCAGCAGCAGCACATCCTCAACCTCCAGAGACAAGGCCTGGTTCCACTGCAGCCCACCGCCGCCATGCAGTCTCTTCAGCAAGGTACGTGCAGGCATGAGCATTACCCAAACAAAACCTGCAACAGGACACATCCTGACAAACTCGGGCCTAAGTAAACACAGGCACAGGGCCTGTGCCCAGTACAGCCTGTTTAGTTAATCAGCCTATAAAAGATTAAAGGACACATGAATGGTGGGTTTATGGAAAGAACTCATTTAGATAATAAGTAAAATATGGCACTAAGCCCCTCTGCTGAGAGGTGCATGCTTGTGTGTTTGGTGCTTGAGATTATCCAGACACAAGAAAATCATCTTTCTGCTTTTCTTTTGCCAACTGTTTTGTTCCTACGTGGAACTTCTCCCACAGTCCCTTCGACTTCTCAGCAGAGTTTCAGAGCGATAAATGTTGACTGCTGCTGGCCCGCCCTTGGTGAAAAAGTGTGTCTTGCCCCGTTATTGTGTGCGCGCTTGCGCGGCAATGTTTCACACATACTTTTGAGCGCTATCTCACTCACAGAGAATGCCTTAGGGGCTCTAAAGTGGCCGTAACATTGCTAAAGCGCTGACTGAGTTGACCAAACAGACCCATTTCCTTCCCTCTGTTTTTGATCTTTCACTTTTTCCCCCCTCATGCAGACTCGCATGGATTCACTCAAAAAGAAACACACACACATACCTAACAAGGTTAAACCGCCAAATTATCGAAGATTTGGAAAAGTTAATTTCCAAACCAGAGGTCTCCCAGAGGACAAGTGGATTCATTCATACAAAAAAAAAAAATTATTTATAAGTGGGTAAGACTTTAGGACTGTCCTGTTAAAAAAGAAAAATTTTTCAGGCAGTTGCAAACGTTTGGCTTCGGCGTCTCCTTCTCTTTCTTTTCGGTCCCTCTCTGCATCAGACTGGAATTTCCCTGCAGTGTGAAAGAGCTGGTCCATTGTGACAGCTCAGCCAGGCGTGAGCCAGAGCATTCCTCTGACCAGCCATGGCTCACAAACACACAAACACGCACGCATAAATACACACACCCCTGCGGCCCTGCCTCAAAAGCTGTTGTTTTCTCTGAATAGGTAGTATGGGGTGCCATGAGGGGTCCAGCTAAGGCTCATGTTTATTACTTTAATGAGATGAAAGGTCCCAGGAAAACCCACCTCTGACCAAAACAAGATTAGATTCTCCATTTATCTGTCCATAATACTAGCAAAAATTCAATGATTGATACATGGTCGTCCATAGAGTAAAAAACCTGTTAAAGATTGCATTTTGAATATCTCCAGCTGTTCTTTGAAGACATCATTTTTTTGTTTCAGATTTAACATCAATAAACAAGCATAAATTATGGCAACCAATAACACAACAGACAGGTTGGGGAGAAGATGTTGGGATGTTTCATTTTAAAATGCATTCTCTATAGCAACATTGTGCAACCTTTATATAATTTCAAATATACTGAATGATTTTTCACATCAATATATATATATATCACTTGCTAAATATCTATGCTCAGTGCTGGCTGCCCTTCTCAAAAATGTACCCATGTAACTTCATAGTGTAATAGTGATCTTTTGCTGAATAGGTCATGTGACCCAGAACGCCGCTCTCAGCAGTCTTAGCTCCCATTGAACCCATGTGCTAACTAAGCCAATGGTTGTTGTTAGCCAACAATTTAGCAGATCAGACATATTTTTGATTCTCTGATGTTGGATTCATCTAGAGGAGTTAAAAGTCCGAAGTGGTCTGCTATCAGATTCCAAAACGCAAAGGGATTTATAACCACTACAATACATTTAGGCCAAGATATTCCTTTAATAATGAGCATATTGGTCCTTTAATGCAAATCTGGTCTCCCTCTCACATCGCTGTGTCCAGTGCATTTCAGCACAACAGCTGATTACATTAAAAGTCGTCAGAATTACGCTGAAAATAGGCTAAAATTTAATGGATGTAGTTTCCACTTACACAATGTTTTTAGAAACATTTACCTCCTTATTTGCAGATAAGAGTGAAATCTAGTTTTTTTTTTTTTTTTTGAGGACCTCCACGCAGGATTATGCAAATACTGACCACCTGTACTTCAGACTCTTTCATCGACTCAGACTCTCCCCAGATTTGCTTGCAGGCAGGTAAACACATCTTCTCTTGCTGCCCCTGCAGACAGAGAGAGCAACCTTTGAAAGCAGGGGTGGAGTATCCAGCTTTGTAAGAGTTCCCAAACAGCTTGTCTGTCAAGCTTAACTGGCGGATAGTTAAAAGGTTTTTTCCTTTTTTTCCCAATTTAAAACAGCATGATAGCTAAAGAGGTGGAAAAATAAGAAGATAAGAGTGCTGAAGAGAAGAAAATACATTTTTCTCTTTGGTACCCCATTATACTCATAAGAAATGTTTATGTGATGGAATGTTTTATTTGGTGACAGTTAAGTTCTGATAGTGGCCTTCAGGGGCGCTAAGCCTGGAAGTTACAGAATGAGTATTTTACCACTGATTTAACAGCAGAATAACCATCCACCAAAGCATGCAGGCTGGGAAGGCATTAAAAATGAACAGCCTAGAGTTACTCTGGAGGAGCTGCAGAGTTTCCTCTGCTTTTTTTCCATTGGGACAGCAAAGCTGTGCATAGCAGACGGGGAGATATATACAGAGATAAGTACAAGGTGATCCTTAAAGAATAACATATTCACATTACAGGACCAGATGTGTATCTGAGGTCATGAAACCCACCTTCAACTAATGATTTAAATCTAGATGAATTGAAGTTTAAAAAGTTAATTCTAAACCTAAATCCAAGTGAAGAAAATATGTGTATAGAAGAGCTCGACAAGGAATTACCTCAACACATAGAAATGCCTGCAAAGGTAAGGTATACATAGTAATTATTTGGAGGCTTGAATGAAAGTACATCTGAAATACACTTTTCAGTTTTCTTTATGTATGTAGAATGTGATTAAAGCTTTGATTCATTTCATAATGATACCTTTAGTGGTGTTTGGTTGGTCAGATAAAATCTAAATTAAGATGGCTGAAACTGTTTGCAAACTGTGGTTGTAATTTGTTCAAAGGGCGTGGATAGTTACGGGTTAGTGGGTAGAATCTGGACCTGTCAGCTTATTGTTGGAGAAAGTTCTTATTTTTTGATTGCAAATGTATCCTCACACGCTTTGTTTATTTTACACTTGGCACTAGACTACCTTCCATCTGTTTTCTTCAAAGTTCCATATTTATTTTTAATTGAACAGACTCCGGTGGTTCGGGCTTCCTAACATAACAATCTTGAACCACTTTACACTTTCTGATCGTCTCCACAGATTGGTTTGGTTTCTCGGATAATTCACACACATACGTGCGCACACAAATCTGTCTGCACATTCGCACCACTTCATTTTTCCAGAGTGAGAACTTTTGTTTTGGCGGGGGCCAGAGAAGAATGCAGACAAAGCAGACATAATATTTGGATTGCTGCGAGGTCCCTGTATGTGTGTACATGTTATATGTGAGTGAGTGCATGCAATAATCCATTGGAGAAGGCTGCTGTATTTTAGGCGTCTCTCCTTCACTGTCAAAATGGACCAGTAATAATAATAATGCTGCAAGCAGAAGGCCCTCAGAATGTGCACTCACATTCTAACACAAATGGTGGCGCTGATGGAATCCTTATTAGCAACTCCTGCTTTAACTGTGTACTTTTCACTCACTAATTCAGTGCTAGAATTATGGCAAAAGAGCACACGTGTAATATAAACTCATATGAGCAGCTTTATTTAAAACACACGCACATAAACCTCTTTCTGCGTGCATTTTGAACAATTAAGCATGAAGATGAAAGACTAGTCCTCCAATATATTACAACCATGAGTTCATGCTCCTTCTGTGTGCTCCTTGCTTGCTTTTTATGCCTTTTTAGATTCTCTCCTACTCACTTATGGACCTGTTTTTTCTGTGCTTATGTGCTTTTGTCACTTAGAACCAACCCGAGAAAGATAACTGTGTGGAATTGCCTACTTTTAGGAAATAGCTGCCTCTTGAGACTGTACTATCTTCTTCCTACAGTAGCAGCCATTCAAAATAACCCTTCGCCAGCCGAATGGCAGCCCACCTCCCTGCAACTCGCAGCAAAATCCCCTTTCACTGAATTACAGGGTCTTAATGTGAGATAACGCTTCTCTTTAGATATTAATGTCCACAATCAATATCATTAAATTAAGTAACTAAGCAGTAGCAATGTGCTCTGAGATGATTAATGTTATATTTGGAATTTTCTAAGAGCAAAGCTAAACATTTGCTTCCCTGTTTATATTGAGGAAGCGGAACAGGGATATTTGCTATTCTACTCAGTTTGCGACTACTTTTAGATGTTGTTGTTTTTTTTATTCCAGCATTATGTCAAAAATGGCTGTTTGATATGAAGTTTGATATGAAGTCAGCATTCTACTGTTGGAGTGAACAGTCTAATGATGCTTATGCTACCAGCCACAAAAAACTACTCATACATTTATAAGTTGTGCAATTTTGGCAGAATTCTGACTTCCTAAGACAGGAACTATAGAAATAAGTTAAAATGTATTAAATTAAGTGTATTTACCCTTAATTTGAGTAGGTAAATAAGATGATTTGCCAATGCAATGAGGATTTTTACTATTAAAATAAGGTCATTAGATAATATACGCTTGAAATATGACAATGGAATTGTTTTTTCTTATTTTAAATGTAAATTGTCTTGTTCCATTGGCAAAGTGTCTACCTTATCCCCTTAATTCAAGAAAAAAATGCACTTATTTTAAGAAAAAATTATCTATCTATTAAGTAATGGGGTCTATCTATTAAATTATCAAGATGCTGATTTTTTCCAGTGCATAAGACTGGTTTGGTTTGTCTTCTTTGCAGCTTTGGTTTATTCGCCATCCCTCTGTCTTTCAGTTGCATTAGAATCAGAGTTAATCATCATGTTTTTTCATGAAATGAACCATCAAGGTGCTAAATTAACTGTGTGACCTCTTTTTTTCAGCAATGTGTCCATCAGACCTCCAGCAACTGTGGAAGGAGGTGTCCGGAGTGCCGACCGCTGAGGACGCCCTTAAACAGGCCGAGGGCCTGGACTTGAGCACCAACAGTTCTAATTCTACCTCAGCCTTCCCCAAAGCTGCCAGTGCTCACATTCCTCTGCACAGCCTGCCCAACGGACAGAGCCACACCCCAAAGAGAGACAGGTCAGGGGTGCTTAAGGGGAATTTATTTTTTTCCAATAGCTGTGCTTTTAGTATTTGCCTTTGTGTGCTCTGATCTTCTCTTTTCTATTTCTCATTCAAACTATCCTACTCCTCTTTTTGGGGGGTGATAATACAGTTGCAGTCAAGCTGACACACTAACATGAATAACATCAAAACAGAAGGAAAACACTAGGGCATAGATGCATGTTGGGTTCAGTGTGTTCTGACAGTTATACCCTTACAGGAGACAGAAGATCTTAGGAGTATACGCTGCTTTAGGCCATCAGTCAGTATTGTCAGACATTAGAGGGGGGTTTTTTGTACCACACACACTGCCTGGCTGTGTTGGCCGCTCACAGGCTTGTCTTCATCTTTAAGAGCCAGACTGTTTGAGTGGATATCCTCCTTCACCAAGGCAGACAGCGGAGACGACCATGTCCCCCTTTACTCCAAAGGCAGCCAGCCTCCCAGCAGCCAGTGAGTAACCATCACATATACACACACATGCACACCAGCAGGCAACCACGGAACAGAAAGACGCACTTCTGAAGGGTCAGCTTCAGCACTTTGGCATCAATTTCAGAGAAAACGTTGGCCCTTATGTTTAGAGAGCAGAGATGGCCTATTCAAGGCTTAGAATTGAGACTTGACTTAGACTCAAGGGTTAGGACTTGACTCTCATGAATAATTTCAGCACATGCAATCAGGAGAGAGAGCAAGGCAGTGTGCTAACCACAGGTTTGGAGCCCAAAGACAGCAGCTATGACTGAGTGTTGGCATTAATTATTATTTTTTTTGCTAAATAACTACCTTTGGAAATAAATATACATTTTTAGATCTAATTAATTCAGAACAGTTTCTAACTTGTTTGCACATTTGGTTAGAAATGTTAAAGTAGATTATTTAAAGGAGATTTAACTCCTCCGAGCCAATAGGTGGTGCACTTGAGATTACCAGTTTTTGTATCATAATGTTTGCTAACCTTTGTAAGAATTGGCCTTTTCTCAGTATGTGTACTTGTGCGTTCTCATGTGCTCGTGAAACGTCATCAGCCTCAGCCCTAGTACTGTTCCAATTCACAAGAACAGCAGACCAAGAACAGACAAAGTCCATGGATGTTTTTCTTGACCCTTCCTATTTACCCAGCATGCATCAGAGCAGAATTGTCCATTCTTGAGATTGACAGCTGTCCCTGCATGCACTGCAGCAGCAGCAGCTTTCAATGAAGCGCTCACAGAGCTCAGAGTATTAAGTTAAAAGTTCTCTTTTCTGTTGCCGTTATTCTATAAAAGTATGTTTCAAGAGCATTTGAGACATTATACTTTTAAGCGTCACTATATGGCCCATTTACTGATTTAATGCGGGATTTTTAAAAAAATCCTAAATTGAGAGGACCATGGCAACCACGGGACCTGCAAGGTTTATGGCAGCCAGGTCTAATCCTAGCCCGTCGGCAGCAGCCCTCTCTCTGCATAGCCGCGTGTGAACGACCGCTGGCTCTGATGGCGAGTTTTTTGTTTATCTAGCTGTGTTAATTATTATTCCCCCACTAAAAGAAAAAGTAAGATTGTATTATTATCTAGAGACAATTAATAACAGGAGGTGAAATGCAGCTCCAGATTGGCTGAGCGTGTGGTGACATCATCAGTACGCTTCTTTTCCAATTGACCCATATTTACCCCAAGTCCACACTTTCCTGTGTTCTTTTCAAGAACATCCTTGACAAGGACACGAGTCCGTACTCGCGTTCTTGTGAATTGATAAACGGCTATTGACAAACGTTTAACTTGACTGTTTAGAAGAAAAGCGGAACCTCAGCATGGCTTCTCAGACCCTTTGTTTGTTTAAGTCAGTAAAGATGCTCAAAAGCTTCACTGAAGTTCTCCTTTTGCTTTTTTTTTTTTGGTTGGAATCGGAGAAATTTAGCAATAAATAGAAGCCATGTCTTAGCTCCATCAAGAAGCTGCTATAACCTATCAATACCTGCGCTCCATCTCAAATAACTTTAAACTCCCGTTCCTATTGGTGCAGACTTTGGGTTCCTAACCAATAGTAAATATTTATATATTTTGGACCCATCAAAATATCTAAAACAGTTATTTGAATAAACATTTTTTTTTATATTTTCTGCAAAATCAGCTGGGTTTTTTTCTGCACCTCTCTAGATGTTCTGTGTTTTATCATTTTTTGAAAACTATTTTGATAAATAGTTTGCAATCTGGCCTATTATGGTTACAGAAAAGCGCCGTAGAATTATTGGCCCTTCTCCCGCGCTGTGGTTGGTCCCGTCTGTTTTTGACCGGAGAGTATTGAAGCAAACCAGACAGACTTCATAGTTTAAGTTTTAATTGAATTTGAGATGAATGACTTGAGAATTGATTGGATATGATGTAAGACCCAAAGAATGATTTGGGATCTTTCCCTATATTCAAACTGTCTTACCTTGAAGTTTTGAATTAGGAGTAGGAACTAACTTAAAAGCTCCAAATTTCACTTGATAGGAAGCTGCCTGCTTAGAATGAACTTAAATTTTAACCTTTAGAAATTTCAAACTCAACTGGAACCCTTAAAGGCCGTAAATGGACCCCAACATGTTCCTCATACAGTTAAAGAGATGAGACGGATGAGCACTGCTGTCAAATTCTGATAGAACATACAGTGGTCTGCTGTTGTTCTTTTGTGGCCTCAGTGATCACAAAGAGGGCAGCGCTGCTGTGTTAGCCTGCTAAGCTAATTCATGGCTGATGTGGAGAACAATGTGGTTAGCAGCAGTTTGTCATGTCTGCTTTAGGAGCTGCGCCTGAGCAAAAAGCAGACAAACCAGGCAGAGATGGTCTCGCACAAACACACCGCCATAACTCTCCAGACTGCACATCTGATCAGGAAGGGGGAGAAAGTGAGGCAGCGAGACGCGCTTCCATCTGCGAGACAAATGGTTTTTGTTAGACAACCTTCTGATGTTGATTTGGGAGAATCCCCATCCCAGTCATCATCCGCACCTACTCACTCGCACAACGCACACACACCCAAACACACACACACACACACACTGCTAAAGTCATGTAAATAAATGTGGAGACAGCAGCCGGAGGCACAGCTCCAGGTCTGAACCACATCTGCTACCGGACCTGCCGCGCGCACATGCACAAACACACTTTACTGCATTTGTCCAAAAACCTGGTCTCTGGTTGTTGCGCTCGTCTAGAAGCACACACACGTACACGCACGTCAGCTCACCACAAAAGAGCAACCAGCAAATGACAGCAACCACCACCAATCAGTCACGGCTGGTTGGTCCTGCGCCGGCTCTGTGTCAGCTCCTGAAACAGTAGAAGACACGCCAACACCAGCATACAAACACACGTGCAAAACACACACCAGACGCAGGGAGATAGGTCATGGACTTCAGAGGTTGTTGGACCGATTCCCTTTCTTTATGCCTGCCTTCTGTAACTAACCCCCACTTCGTTCTGTCGTCCTTTCGCTGCTCTTGGCTCGTAGAGCCGCACCAACTAATCACAGCTAACCGCACTCAGATGCCTGTGCCAACGCGCACTACTGTTAGGTTCACATATTGCATGCATGTGTTGAATAAAGTGACTAATAAATATTTTGCTGTTTCTTATACAATTGTGTCTGAGCTCAGCTGGTGTAGGGATTATTCACAAATTGTAACATCTGTAGTGGAGCATCGCTGATGTCTCCGTTTTTTGGTGTGTTTGTCTGCAGTCATGAGGAGCTCAGCAGCTCCCATCCCCTCTACGGTCATGGAGAGTGCAAGTGGCCTGGCTGTGAAGCACTGTGTGAGGACATGGGACAGTTTATCAAGTGAGTAAATGAAAAAACTATTAATACACTAGTTTAATGCTGGAAAAATTGGCCTTTTTTCTTTTCTTTAAATCATATAACTGGGAAAAATAGGCTTTTTTTTCTTTAAATCGTATAACTGGGAAAAATATGCAGAATCTTATTATGTTGGAATATATACCTATTTGATTTAAAGGGTTGTACATTGCTAACTCGTTATCTGATTCAAAAGTGACCGACTTTCACTGATATAACCTTCCACTTTGAGATGGGAATATATCAAGTCAAGACATAATCAAAGCTGGCAGATTTCTACTCACAACTCTGTGTGCGCTTATGTTAACTTATAAGTAAGTCGTTTAGCTGACAACATCATTTGGCATCTGATTTATTACAGATGTGTGTCCAATTTATTGCTTTGGACCACATTAAAGGAGGTGATGTAATGGCTGACGGATCCTGCAAAGGGTTGCAAAAAAACAGAACAGAATATTAATACCTCCAGACTTTATCCCATTATTTAAAAGTTTTATTCATCCATTTGGGATCCATTTATCCATCTGTGGATCCTTTCTTCCTGTGATTTCTGCAGGTACCATATTAAAGACTGGATTGATGAAGAAATATATGCCATTACTTAATCGTGAACTTTTGTATTTATATTTAGAAATGACCAGAAAATGAATGAAAACTCTAGAAAATGATGAAACTATGATATGATGAATATATAGGATGTTTTTTTTAACGTATAAGATGTTAACAAAAAACAGAAATCAAAGTTAACATTAAGGTTACTTTTACAGAAAAGTTTATTTATTTACTATAAAACGTGGATTTCAGCTTTGGTGGGGTGACAGTTGCATCAGGTGGAGGAGTTTACCCTGCAATCGGAGGGTTGTCGGTTTGAGCACCAGCTCCGGCTTTCAGTGTTGGGGTGTCCTTGGGCAAGACACGTCACCTGCAGGGCCTACTGATGGAGCTCAGAGGGCCTGGTGGCGCCAGTGTAAGGCAGCCTTGCTTCTGTCAGTGAGCCTCAGGGCAGCTGTGGCTACGATGTAGCTTACCACCACCAGTGTGTGTGTGTGAGTGGGTGAATGACTGAATGTAGTATAAAGCGCTTTGGTCAAGTCCCCTGACTTGAGAAGGCACTGTATAAGAACAGGCCATTTTATAGATAAATAGCTTTAAAATTGCTTTAAAAGAATCCATTATAGTGGTTTTTATTGTCTTTGACCACCTGCCACTGCGGTTAAAATTCAATTATTAAATAGGTAACTTCAAAGATATTGTTGTATAAACTGTATCAGGATAAATCAGTTGTTTTTGGTAAAAAAAAAAATATATATATATATATATATATATATATATAGCTTCATTAAACCAATAGTGTGATTAAAAATCTCATGAGAAATAACCCTGGCAATGATTGTCGTATTTCAAGTTAATAAAATACCATATTTCCACTGCTAATTAAAAGCTTTATGAAAATAAAGAATCCCAGTTTTGGTAAACAGTCCTTTGATCAACTTTCTATATGGTAAATGAGCTCTTTATTATTAAAGGAAGTTATAAAAGAAGACATTTGGGAAGGTGTTTGTAAATAGTTCACCACAAAGCAAACACATCTTTGGCTAAATGGTTTAGAATGTAACATTAGGATTAAAATTTCATTTTTTTTTTTTTTTTTTTAAAGTTAATTTTTTGGATTTTTTATTAACTAAGCAGAGATTTTTGCATAAAATTCCTTAGGTGAAAATCCAGAAAGTAGACAATAGCTAACTTTTGCTCCTGTTAATCATAATTAATGTGGAAGTTGAAACTTCCGCTTATTTAATGGTGCGTGTCAGTCATACAAATCTCTGTAGGCTTCTGTAAGTTTTTTTTTCTTTTTCTTTACTTTTGCAATCTGTTGCATCACATTTGCTCCGAGGTGCGTACATATTTGCATACATACACTCACGCACAAACACACCGGTACGCGGTGCTACTCATCATTTGTACAGTCTTTGTTTCCTACAGATTGTTTGAGTTCCTTCTACAAACTGCCTTACATTTGTTTATTTCATTCCAACTGTTTGTTTAGTTTGGCACATTTTGCAATTTCCTCCCCTCAAACCTTCCTGTTTTTCTTCTTCTTCTTTTTCTCTGCTATGTCATTTTCACATTTGGAGTAATGCAGCACCTCCTCCTTACTGGACTCTCCCCCTTGGCACCGAGGCTTCTAATGAAAGGCCTAACAAGCCCCCTAATGAAGCCCTACGCAAACTTAGACTCATTAACGACGCGGCCTTTGCAGTTGTTTGAACAGTGGTGATATTAATAAGCAAGAGTGATGAAATAAGTATTCACACACAAAATCACAGGGGTGTGCTCGGTGACGGCAATGGCATTGGACGGTGGGATCAAAGCTTGCGAGCAGGCTGGGAAAGTTTGGAGAGGAAAGCTGTTGTTTGGTGTCTCGTTTCACGTAGCCCGGGGGCAGATGGAAGGAGAGTAGTCGCTAAAGTGAAAGAGCTTGCATGAGTGTGTGTGTAAGAAGAGAGAGAAAAACAGAGGCAGCGACAGATAATGCCGTCAGTCCAACGGCGAGCTCCCTCCCATTCAGCCTTAGTAATCGCCCTAGGAGGGGAAGAGGGTAGAGCGGAAGAACAGAGGAGGGGAGACGCTCCAGTTTGGACTCTTTCTTGTCCTCTGTTCACTTTTTACTCTGCCCACCTCCCCTCCATCCTCCTCCTCTTCTCTGTCCTCTGGTACAATACTCTGGCTGTGGTCACCAAAGCTGGGTGTAATGTGGGTTAAAGGCTTGTCTGCCAGCACTCAGAGGAATAAACAGAGCCTCTTTGTCGGGGAAAACTTAAAAAAAAAAAAGTAAAAGAAGCAAAAAAAACCTGCTACTGTTTACGACCCAGCTATAGAGGAGGAGGGTGGGAAGGGGAGCAGATTTAGTTGGAATATGTGTGAATCATGGGCATTTGGGGAGTTGCATGAGGGGGAGGGGGAGAGTGGACAGAAGTGTGAGTGACGAAGATGCAGAGACAGAGAGTGAGAGAGAGAGCTCCACAGAGGGGGAGTTGGAGAAAGAGATTGGGGTGAGCTCATGTTTTTGTTATTATTATCGTGCACTTGCGTTGAGCCATCTATCTGCCTAGATTAGCCGTGCCATGACATCATTGTTTTTGTTTCATCTCAGACTCTTTGCCTGGTGTCGGAAAACTTGGTACTTTCTCAGAGGTTCACACACCCACAGCTCCATCTGTAACACACGTTACCACTTTTTAACCATAATCAAAGAAAAAGCTGCAAACCTACAAACATAATGTTAAAGTTACAGATACGTTCTCATTTTTCTATTGCATGATGGTCAACAGTAGAGAAGCTGCAGAGAGGTGTGTTAAGCTACGACTCTGCTTCCTGATCTGCAACCTGTGCTTTCAGGGTTTAGGAGGACTAATAAATGTGGCCAGATTGCTAAAAAGAAAAACTGCACCATCCACAATAGGATGGATGCCGTGTCTCCGAGTCAGACCAGGTGTTCCCCAAAAAGTTAGCCAATTATCAATGTAGCCCACATCATTTTCAGGACACCACATAGACAACCAGCGGTTGAATGACGACATGCGGATAAACATGTCATCACTGGTCAGATCAGGGAGGAGAAGCAGGAAAAATGGCAAATTTCCACGCCAAACTGACACAACTTTTAGTAACCTCCGATTGGTGTAACTGGATGTCATTACTGCCAGCGTGAATAGCAATCTTACTGTATTTAACCTTATCCTTAGCCAGCAGTTTCAGGTAGGAATTGAGGTTGTCCGTTCTGGCCCCTGGCAAACATTTGGCTAAGGCCCCTGGTGTCTCTAATGCCACGTTTCTGAATATGGAGCTGTGAATTACCAGAGGGGCTTTCCAGTGGATGTGTCTCTAAGCAGGGAAATTGGTTTGGAATGTGGAGGGGTTGGTGGTGACCAGTTGGTTAAGATCTATGACTATACTTTCTGCGTAACGTCACTCAGTCACCTGGCTGCTCAAGAACTGTTGGAGGACCACTACGTGGATATGTCCCTGGTCTCATTGGCTCCCGGCTGTTAACTAGAGGGCCTATTCTAACTTCTGGATGTTTTACAGCCAAAGGCCGAGACTCTAACTCCGACACACTCACTTTCAAAGCTACAACTAAAGGAGGTAGAGGAATAACTAAAAACAGAGAACAGGAGAGGGAGATTTAGAAAGTTGGAAAAGAGAGGAGAGAGATAGACAAGCCATAGCATAGCCAAGCAAGCACTAGCCTAGTCTAGCTACCCCTTACTATGAGAAATAAAACCGTGTGAGGTGCCCAGTAGAAAAGTGCAGCGGTTGAAGCTGTGTTTGAAAGTGCTTCTGAACAGTTAGAGTAACTTAAGGATATCATGGAAAACAGAGCTTAGCTCAGATGGAGAGGAGCAGAACCACAAAACGTAGGTCAGCAGTTAGAAAAAGGTGAAAAGGCTTTAGAAGGCAAAGCTTGAAGTCCAGAGCTAATTCCAACTAAATATCTGAGAAATATCTTTAAAACCTATTGTCTGATAGAGCTTAAACTCCATATTTTTTGTTAGGGGAAACACTTTGGTCTAAATTTTCAATGCTAGCATAGACATACGAGGAGAGGAACTGTAATTACAGTAAAAAGTGGTGTTGACTCAGGCTGAATTTATAAGCGTTGCTCTATCACATAAAACCCCCTCTTAAATACATTAAAGTTTGTGGTTGTGAGGTGACAAGTTGTAAAAAAAAGATATTTCAGGTTGTATGAAAACCTTTTCAAGGGGCTATGAGTTTGCACGCTAAGGCGGCTGCAACCTGTGAATAACCTTGGCAACGGCAGGAGGAAGGCTGGGAGGAGCACACTGGGAAAGTTCAGGAGGTCCCACATTAGAGGAAACAAACAAAGCAACATCATTTCCACATGCAGACACACATGAGAGACACCACTGGTAATAAATGAACATTTGGGAACAGCGTGCCTTAAGATAAGGCCGTGTGTGATAACATATGAGCTCATATCCAGGTGGCTGTCTTGGACCATGGCTCCAATGAAGTGCATAAACACATAACACAGCTGCTGTGTCCATCCCTAGACAAAATGAGCCTCTAACTAAGGTTAGGATTTATTTTTATAGCAGCTCATAATTCAGTCTAAATACAATTAAGGAAAATGAGGTTACTTGCTGCTTCATTCATGCCATGCGGAGCAATACGACAATAATCCTCTTGGCTTAAAAAGTCTTAAGCAGTGGTTTTATATTTAAAGGGATAACTCACTTGTCACATTTATCCTCTTCTACCTCTCATTACCTTCAGGCACTTGAATAATGAGCACGCCCTCGATGACCGCAGCACTGCTCAATGCAGAGTCCAGATGCAGGTGGTTCAGCAACTGGAGATACAGGTGGGTCACAAACCAACAGAGCTGACATTACAGCCCATTACAAACAGGCATGGAGGCCTTGTTTTTTGTAGACGCTCGCAAACAGCGTCTTGAGGGCCGTTCTGGCGCGTCGGCGGTGGAAACTTGTCTTTGGCGGTGCAGAGTTTATGAAGAGCAGCGGAGCTTGTAATTTAAAAGGAGCAGTCAGCAAGGAAGCTGCCATCGCCGCTCCAATTATAAAGCTGCTCTGGTCACCAGCGTAAGGGGGAAGAGAAAAGACACGAGTGAGACGTGGAGGACCCGGCTGAGAGGAGATCTTCTGTTTAGAAACGTCAGAATAACGCTCCAGAAAATAATGATCTAAATAATACTGACTGATGTTTTCTAAGACCAAAGGTGTTATTTTAAATCCGTCTAACCCCAATATGTACTGCCAATATGAGCCAATTCTTTGGGTCCATATTATTTCTTCTAGCTTCATGTGCATGATTAAAATGACAAGAAATTTTAACTAATCTTAATTTAAACAACAAAGAAACATTTACAAACAAATCAAATGGCACACTAAGAATGGATGGTAAATGGAAAGCATCCTTCTAATGGATGAGACAAACAAATACAAAGAAAAACATTTTTCATACATATATATATACATATATATATATATATATATATATATGTATATATATATATATATATATATATATATATATAAACTCTTGTAAAAACTTTGCATTAATCCTTTTTTTCTATTATATAATAAAATGACACAATGTAGGTTAGGACTTCAAACACCATTTTAGCATCTTTCAGTCTTTGGGGTCAGCCTATGTCATATTTTACTGAGGAATATGAGTCAATGCTGGCAGCAGGAAAAGAAATTACAAGATTGGGGTCTTCTAATGATAAAATCACATACATGGGGACAAAACCCATAATATAACCAGCAGGACAGGATAAAAGCCACCTGACAGTGACTAGAATATCTGGTGAGCATGCATAGATAAGGAAGAAGTAATGGTGCAAAGCACAGGTGAGACTAAACAAATCCATATGTGGGTGGGGGATTAACAAAAATATGCAGCAGGGCATATTTTTTATATATAAGAGAAACTCTGGTGAAAATAAGTGATTAAAATAGTTGGAGAGAAGCAAAAAAAATGTATTACTAAAACCCAGAAATCCCTGGACTGATCATGGTGGCTTGTTTTGTCCTTGTTCTGTTTACACAAACTGTAAAGTTGCTCACATTTCTCCTGCAAACTGACCCAGAAGTGACTCGTTTAAGAGGCGGCTTTGAGTGCGGCCAGTGTTGTGGTCACCTTTTTGTGTTTGCAGCGGTGGTAAACATCGTTTAGCCGAGGCTCTGAAGCCACAGCCAGGGAACGCAAAGTGACAGAGAGGCAGCAGGTGTCACATCACATCAGGACAGCCATCTCTCCCTCTCTCACGTCTTGACATGTCGCTTCATCCCTCCGTCGTCCAAAGGACGTCCGTTTCTCCCACACCGCACCGCGTACAGTCAGGCGTGGTGTTAGAGCGGCTAATATTCCTGCAGCGACACACATCTCTGAACCTTGCGAGTCCCTGTCTTGTATTTTTTATTTTAAACATGGGAGCTAACAGAAAGATAAAACAAAAAAAATTTAGAAAAAGGCCTCAGCGTCTCCACAGGCAGCGGCGCTACTCCATTAAACAGCCGTTAACAAAGTCAAACGGGGGCGAGCGTGTCTTCAGGGCTAGAGGAAGTGTTTGAGAGAGAGCTGCGGGTGCTGAGGCGCCTCGCTCTCATGTTCGCCACTTTGCCTGAGGTGTAATTGTATTTGTAATTCTGTGTCAACAGCGCATTAAATCAATCCGAGGGTAATGAAATGAGATGACATGTATTTGTTCGATCTGTTTGGTTTTGCAGCTGGCAAAGGAGAGCGAGCGACTTCAGGCCATGATGACCCACCTGCACATGCGCCCCTCAGAGCCAAAACCTTTCAACCAACCTGTGAGTACAGCCACCCCAAGGTCCAGATTACAGCACCTCTCACTGCTTTCCCCTGGATGGGATATTATCATTGCTCTGTCTCTCTCGCTGGGTGGCTACGCCCTCTATTGTTCACTGAGGGTTAATGTGGTGTTTCTAATTCATAATTAATTTTTTCAGCCTAACAATCTGCTTTTTATGTACTTTCTTTTTTGCCTAAAAGTATCTTCCCTTAAAAACTATGCTTTTAGAGGGCACTAAATCCAAAGATAAGGGGTTTACATTTAAGCTTTTCTCTCATTTAAGCTGAATTTAATTTGATTTCTCACCCATCACTGCGATTCAACTGAACGCTTGCAAACAGGACGCAAATTTTACGTCGCTTTCCGGTGTAAAAATGCATCCAGTTGGTTTGGGAGAAGCTGCTATTTGGGAATCTAATGAATATTTCATCATGGAAATTGACGAGAAGTCTTATTAAAATGTGAAGATGTTGAAATTAATTGTCAATTAGAGCGAGAGTGTCTTAATTTGAGAATATAAACGAGCGCGGCTGAGGGATGGCGGGGTGGGGGGGGGTGCGCACGTGTGACTGGATGATGTGTTGATCACAAGGGGATCAGCTGCCATTATCATCTAATGGGAAATCAGGAAGGAGGTGTGTTCTGTCACCACTGGAGACGGGCCTCGGGGTCAGGGATTGGAGGAGGAGGGGCAGAGGAGGAGCGTCAGGAATGGAAACAAAGCTTGGCCTCAATTAACAGTGTTGGACTGTTGCTGTGGTGATGGGCCGGGGTTGCAGCTTTAATGAAGTACCTGTTAAGCAGACCCGCCCCTCTCCTCCTTCCCCTCCAAGGCAGCTAAAATGGTACGGAGAAGGGTCAGAGGAGAGAGGAGGTGATTCACACATTTTACATAAATCTAGACAACACACACACTCTCAGTGGTTTTAATTAGTACTAAACTAGAAGCCCTGCATCTCCTCTCCCAGAGAGACTGGGAGTACCTGTTCTGTGTGAGGGGGTGCGTGTGTGTGTTGGGCTCTGCCTAATTGGGCCGAATTGGGCCGTGAAGGCTACGCCACCGCAAAGCGCATGTGTATGTTCCCCCTTCCTACAAACATGCTGTCGTGTGGTTTTTGTTTTTGTAAGCTCAGGGTTGATTGCAGCCTGTGCTCTCTGTGTGTGTGATTACACTGGTATGAATGCGTGTGCATGTTCAGAGAGTGCACATACCGGCTGCCGGTGATAGGAACCCACTTTTCCAGGAAGTGCCAAAGGCCACTATTTTTCTGACTGCAAAATAAATGGATCGCTGAAAATTATTTCTACGGGTTTGCACCAAAACCCAGGGAGTTGTATGTGATACTTCTAATTTCACACATGTTGAGATGCTATCCGCCCAGCTGTTACATCCAGTATGAAGTCAGAATTCGTCCACAAGTTTGCACATGTAGGAAATAATCATACAAGCCGTTTTGTCTAAAACATACACACATATAATGGGAGCTGGCTCGGACCTTGTCTGCCTGGCTGTGTGTTTCCTGGACGGGGCCGCCTTTTACAGCTGCTTTTTGTGTCTCTGCTTCTGTCTCCTTGAACCCCAGTCGGCCTCAGCAGATGGCCGCTCACACTGAGCCTGGTTCTGCTGGAGGTTTCTTCCTGTTAAAAGGGAGTTTTTCCTCTCCACTGTCACTACAAGCATGCTTAGTGTGAGGGATTGTATTTGAGTCAATGAGTCGATGCAATCAACTGGTTTTCCTTAGATAGAAAACTTTGTATCAATTTGACTGTATGATCTGGTTGAACTGTAAAGTGCCTTGGGATGACATGTGTTGTGAATTTGGCGCTATATAAATAAACTGAATTGAATTGAATTGAATATAAACTTTTCTTTATATGTATTTTGCCCCCCAATATGTCAGCTGCATCAGTATATACTCCTTCTCTGAGTTTTCTTGCTTTTTATGCACCTGTAGATTCTCTCCTACTCGTGTGTTGACCTCTTTCTTTGTGCTTATACAAACTTTTGTAACTTTAAAGCTATAGTGGAGAATGTTCTTTTTCTGTGTCTCTTCCTAATTGTCAGTCATTGTGGTGATAGGTTTACATAAGGCCGTCCTATGTGCTCGTCCCCATTTTCACTTACTTGGAAAAATTACAGATCTTATCTTGCTGTCCCTGCTGAAAGCATACCCGTCCCATACTATGATACTGCCATCTGTGTCTTTAATGGTAGCAGGATTTTCAGGTTTCACACCGCACCGTGCTCTGCTGTATCAGTTCTCCCTCCATGCTTACATCTAGGGCTGATGGATCACTCTGGACCTTTTGTTCCACATGTTTTCTGTATTCTCTGCATGGCATATAGCAAGTTTTAAATGGGACCTTTGGCTTTCCTTTAACAAGGCCTTTTCGTCCTACCACTCCCCCATAAACCCCAGATTTGTATTTTTAAGCTGCCTATATATTTTGTTTTTCATTTTACAATCATGTGATACTCTATTAAGTCAGTCTCATATAAAAGTTTGTGGTTGTAATGTAATATTTAAAAAAGGGTTCGAGATGCAAGAATAGTTTAGCGAGAGTTTGTGATGTATCATTTTCTGAGTCTTACCTTTAACCTCTGAATATAAAAACTAACATATTCCCTCTTCTCCTTCTAGCTGAACCTGGCTTCCAGCGGCTCCCTGTTAAAGAGAGACAGCGAGGCCTACCCAGAGGGTCTCCCCCACCCTCCCACCTCAGCCGCCACCCCCATCACGCCGCTGCGCCAGGGACCCTCCGTCATCAGCTCTTCCAGCCTGCACACACACTCCCACTCCCACACACACCCGGTCGGCCCCATACGTCGGCGCAACTCGGACAAGTACTGCACCCCTATTGCCTCAGGTAGACTCCCACTGCCTCATACCTCTTCCTCACCTTCCTCCGATCACAGCTTCGGCTTTTCCTTTCCCCCAATTATCCTACCATATATTAACAGTACAGATTGACCAATGCATAGTTATTTTAAACCAATTGTTTTGACTTCAGTTTAACTTATCATTGAAATGTGAACATAACGATAACAATGTACTCAGTTAAAATAAGAAAATAGGCTTTTATTAAATCAGACAAACATTACTGATGGATAGATAAATAGATTGCAGATTCCTGAGTGTATTCAGCAGGAATCCCTTGTAAACACTTTTACCTATCGGCCAATACTACAAGAAGAAAATGCTAAAATCAGCCCATCTATTTCTAACAAAGGCTTTCTTTTTTATTTGTGATTGATCAGTTCACAGATATTTTACTACCATTATTTGCTATTTACTAGTGTTGCACCGATACCAGCACTAAAATGGTGGTATCAGTATCGGTGAGTACCAACAAATAGGGCACTGATACCATTTTGAAACCCACAAGTTTATTCAACTGTTGTCACCCATTCCTGGTAGGCAATAAAACTTCTACCGGATTCACTTTGTTAGTCTTTTTCCTGCTTCGCAACGGTAGGCGGCCGCTTGACAAAGCCATGATGGCAATTATTTTACATCCAAGTAGGATGCAGTTCTTCAAATATACACACACATCGATTTCAAACAGATGGTATTGGTATCGGCCAATACTACACAGCCAGGTATCGGGTATCGGGGCCAAAAAATGGCTTTGGTGCAACACTACTATTTACTAAAGGGCTTTTTATGAAATTACATTTTTTTTTGTTTCGATTTGTTTTGAAAAATGTGTTTATTACCTCATAATCCAGTTCCTTATCTTTCCTGCAGAGCTCGCTCAAAACTGTGAGTTCTACAAGAACGCTGATGTCAGGCCTCCTTTTACCTACGCCTCTCTTATACGCCATGTAAGTACGGCCATCTTATCTGTCGGACCTGTCCCTCTGCTGGCGTCCTCCTCTCATGTCCCACGTCTCCATCTTTGTCCAGGCCATCCTGGAGTCCCCAGACAGACAGCTGACTCTAAACGAGATCTACAACTGGTTTACACGAAAGTTTGCATATTTCAGGAGAAATACTGCCACATGGAAGGTAAGATTATGGTAGGAATAGATGCATTTTTTAAGAAGTTGAGTTTTTTTCTTCTCTTTCCTCTGATCGTGTTACTCTTGGCATATTGCTTTTTAATTTATAGATTTTATTGGTGGAAATGTAAAAATCACACAACAGCTAATGGGGTTAGAGTTTTTTAAAGATGTAGTACAGTAGCAGCCATTCAAAATGGCCCCTCCCAGTAAAAACGGCAGCTGAATGGCAGCTAACTGCCCTGCAACTCCCAGCTAAATCCCCTCCAACTTCCAGCCACTGACCTTCTCCTGGACATGCATATGTTTTTACTTCGACTTCACCCTTTCACTGAATTACAGGGCTGACCAGGAGATAACGCTTCCCTTTAGATCTTAGTGTCCACAAATTATGACGGAAAGAATATTTTTGTACAAAACTACAGCCAGGTAAAGCTTTACTTTAGTTTTTTTTTTTTTTTTTTTTTTTTTTTTTATAAAAGAAGGAAGGTGGAAATATTGTGTTTGGGTGTTTAGATGGTAAAAGTTTAATATCCGCAGAGGGACACCCCAGAAAAGATTTCATGCAAAAATAAAAGTCTTCTTCTTTCTAAAGGTATGTCCAAGTTTATGACAAAACGTAAAAAGTATACATTTTATGTGACAGTTTCAAACCTAAAACTTTGCTTATAAGAGAGGGAATGAAAGAAAATAAAGGAAAGAAGAAAAGAGCAGCTTTATGATGATGGCTCTAACAAAGGAGAGCTGGGAGTGATGATAGAAGGTTAAGAGACAAAGGTTCCAGGAATATCTACCCCCTCATTTGGCTTTTATGAATTTTAACTATTAATGCCCAGGCTCTGTTTCCTCCTCCATTCATCTAAAGGACCTTTAAATATAGCCTGGGCATGGCGTTATGTATTTATGTAGCAGCCTGGTGAGTCAAACGGGGCCGCAGAGATGTATGTCCTTTAATAAGTAGTTATATTTCATGAGCGGAGCGACCGTGTCAGGCGCTGGAAGTTACCAACCAGAGACAGAGACTGACAGAAAATGGGGAAAGAAGGAGAGCGAGGGAAGAAAATCTAATCATAGTCATTTAAAGTTTATACATAGTAGAGCTTTAAGATTTTGAAAGCAAGAAAAAAGCCTCAGGTGTTTGCCTTGTTAGTGTAGCATTACTTGGTTTAGTGTAGTTTGTAATGTTGCACCGATACCAGTATTGGGAGGTTTCTTGAGGACCCAAATGCAGAGACGTGTGAAGATAGATCTGATAGATTTGATTGGTAACTGAGGCAGAAATCCAAAAAACAAAAAATACAAACTATAAAACACCAAAAACTAGTGATGGGCTATCTGAAGCCAGGCCTCGAGGCTTGTACCGAGTAATAAGGGGGCGTGTCAATGAAGCCCCGCTTCGAGGCCTGTGTTGTCTTGTTGAAAACCACGTGACTGGCAACAAACGAGGCCTCGCATTGCATTGGTCACGTGACTGCTTCATTTTGCGTGTCGGTTTTCAAAATAAAAGCGCGATGAATCCTGTTGCTTTGTGGGTTGTAGTATGTGGGTTTGGTAACAGCAGAACAGTTTTCATCTGCAGTGGTTGAAATGGAGCCGTCAAAAAAGAGAAAAACCTCTCATATGTGGGAGTATTATGAGATGACAGATCACAATCACAACCTGAAACTGTGAAAAAAGTCCTATTCCTAAATAAAAACAATTAAACCTAAAATCCAGAAATTTCTATATTTTCTTTTGTTTAATCAGGAGATGCATCAGAATCACACATCAAAACCAGACTAAAAGCCATTAGAAGAGGCAAACTCTATGGGTAACTTAATATTAAGAATCAGAACTAGAACTCCTAGGAAGAGATGATTTTAAACAAATTCTGTCTTTAAGGAAGCAAGTTTCAAGCTCAAAGTATACAGAGTCTGCAGCAACAGTCACTCAGTTCTCAATACATTAAAGTAACACATATCTTCATTGTCTAATAAGTCCATGACATAAAAGAAAACCTAACACCACCACTGATGGTCAAGGATTAGATTGGCTACAAATCATTTTAATCATTAAAACATGACAATTAAATAGGATTCTCCTCTTACTAAACATGAGTTTGAAACTTTGTGACAATATTGCATTTCCTAATATTTGGAAGTATGATCCAACTGAGTAACAAGGCTGTTACAGTTTCACCAGCAGATGTCACTAGTGAGTGATGAATGAAGCATCGAGTAATGAACTTTTTTCAACACTTTGCGATGGAAAGCTTCATTGCTTCATGAGGCTTCACTTGCCCATCACTACCAAAAACCTTCAGGGAAAACTTACATGGGGAGCCAGAGAAGAGGAAATAACAATCAGCAACAACAAGGAACCAGCACTGAGTGACTGCAGAGGGCAACAGAACAAAGGAGGGACTAATGAGCTGAATAAGGAGCAGGTGTGACCAGAACTAACTAGAAGGAAGCCGAGGGGAAAGGAAACAAACACAAGGGGGCGACAGAGAGTAACTAAAGACTGCTTGAATAAAATGGAAAATAAACCAAAGAACAAAACAGAACAACTGATAACAGAAACCTAAAATCTCAGTGAAAAATGGGGAGAACCATAACAAATGCTGCACAGCCAGGTATCGGGTGTCAGTATCAGGGCCAAAAAACGGCATCGGTGCAACATTAGTAGTTTTTTTTTATTAGTATTAATTCTCTGGCTGTAGATGGGGTCAGCATCTCCTAAGCTGTGGTACTCAGCACTTGTTGAACGGCATGCTCTGTTGCTGCTTCCATTTTGAAGTGTAGCTAAAATAATTGGTCCTTTGCTTTAGGTTTATAATCCAAGGAAACAGGAAGTCAGGGAAGAAATCTAATTAGAAATGGAAGAAAACAATAAATTTGTGTTTTATAGGAACTGCCAATGTATAGTAGCTGCACACTTTCTTCATTTCTTCACCGTATCCTTCTCTTCCCTCTGTTCTTCCTTGTGTCCTTCTATCCATGCTTCCTTTCTTTTTAGTCCTTGTGTACTTCCTTTTTTTCTTTCTTTCCTACCCTCTCAATAAGAAAATACTACAAACCATGACAATTAGAATTACCAGGTTCTGGGTGATTAATCGATTATATCAATTAATTGTTAAAAGTTAACGAAGGTCACTATTTGCTGTTAGATGTGGACTGATAAATGATAAATAGCTCAGTATGTGATGCCACTAGCTGCAAATATTTAGTTTGTTGTGAAACATGATTATTTCACAGCATTTTTCCACAGCCTGAATATCTTTGGCTTTAAAATGAAGGTCACCCAGAAAGGATGATGGAAATAAAAGCTTGTTTCTGAAAGTAAAATATATATATATATATATATATATATATATATATATATATATATATATATATATATATATATATATATATATATATATATAAGATATAAGGAAACAGGAACCTATTAGGCTACTGAATAAAAACACTATTTATAAATGATTTCCATGGTACAGAGATATAAAGCTGTCATCAATAGACAGAATATGTTGCTCCAACATCCTTTTAGATTATTCACCTCTTCAATACAGTTTTATTTTGTTTATCCCATTGTTAATCCGCCTTAACACCACCTTAGAGTAACATTTCCTCCTTTGAAACAAGCTTAACACCCTGAAATCGATTTAATGTAATCATATTTATTTATCTTTCTTTGCAGTTAAAGCTTTACCTCTGAATAAATCCCTCCCTCCTGTTTGCCCCCCCCCATCTCTCAGCCCAGAAGGGAGTGGAGATGAGTGGCACATGTGCTGTGACCCACTGTAAATGACTGCTAATGTTTTAACTGGGAGAATTAGGCTTTCATCACGGAGACGAATGCAAATAACACGGCAACGACGCCGGCGTCTGCGGCGTGTTTGTGCTGTTGTGTGCGAGTGTGTTTGCACTGTCAGGGTGGCAGGCGGAGATTGGGGTCAGACTCATTTACAAAACTTAGCATCACGGCTCGGGGCTGGAGGAGGAGGGGTGGGGGGGGTTCCTCCTCTGATTATGGCTGTGTGTGATTACGACTGTGCTGGCGACTCTCTGTGTACGCCTCTTTGGGTGTGTGTGTGTGTGTGTGTGTGTGTAATTACGGCAAGGAGTGATGCACGCCTGGCCTGTCCCTCCCTCTCGGCTTAGAACAGCGTGTCAGAGAGAATATTCAGGATTTAATTATAGACGAATTAAAATTGGTAATGAAATTGGGCATGAACAAACTACAAATAGCAGATGAAAAGGGAGGCCTGTCCCTAGGGGGGGGGGCTGAGACGGAGATAGCGGTGTGCCTTCCTGCCTGCTCGGCTGTCTGAGTGTGTGTGTGTGTGTGTGCAGATGATGACTGATTAGAAACAAGATAAAATAACCCTGCTAGAAAACTCTCTGCTTCATATTTACTCTCTTCAGGGAGCGACAGGAGGACGTTAAGGGGGATTGGTGGGAAAAACATCAATAAAAGTTCAAACTTAAGTCTTTTTCTATCTCCAGAACGCCGTGCGCCACAACCTGAGTCTGCACAAGTGCTTCGTTCGCGTTGAGAACGTGAAGGGGGCCGTGTGGACCGTGGACGAAGTCGAATACCAAAAGAGGAGACCACCAAAGATGACCGGGTGAGTGAGTAGACTACCAGCTTATGGGCGCCGGCATCATGATTGCCCTAAAACGGATCGGCTAATGTTACCCAGAGCTTCTGGTTTGCGATGCATCCGCTCGCTTCTACGTGTTCCTCCTTATTTGTAAGCAGCTGCATGAGATGCAAGGTGGCAGGAAAAAAAAGCTTGTTAGCGTGTGTGTAAACAGATGTTTCCTTCCAACCATGGGGGATAATGACGCACCTGCACGCCAGATATCAGACACTTTCACACGTCTGTTTCAAGCAGCTGTTTACAATCCGCCCATGTTTCTGTCTAGAGTATTTCTGAGGTTTGTCACACTGTTTAATTGAGTTGACATCTTTTCACATGTGTGCACAAGCTGCGGTTTAATGTCTCCCTCCTTCCTCTTCTGTCTCGCTGCAGAAGTCCCACTCTGGTGAAAAACATGATTTCAGGCCTGGGTTTCGGATCCCTAAACGCCAGCTACCAGGTAACATTTATTTCTGGATCTTTTTTTCCTTTTGAAACACACTTAGCTGCTGCTAATAATCACTATCTCAATGAGATTTTGGAAACTTTGGAAATTAGAAATTAGACTCTCAATCTGTAGAGAAAAAAGAAAATTATTTTGTTTAAGTTTAAGCATGAAAAATTAAAGACTAGTGAACTGCAGTAGGATTAATAAAGAAAAAAATAATTTCTAAGCAAACGTTATACATTAATCAGATGGAAAAAAATATATGAATATAATACACCATTTAGTCGATTATTCGTTTACATCCCTGGTTGGAAAGTATTTCATGAATTAAGATTAGCTTAAAAAAGGATGTGATCGCTTTCAAGAAAGGGACGGCGAAAAAGCTTTCCAGACAAACGAGGGATGAAACCAGCGAAAGTAAACTGACAGAAAATGAAGAGACATATGCAAAAAAGAAAGGTAGATGACAGGTGAACTGACTCGGATCGTTTGTGAAATAATAATAATAATAAATCCAATTTGTACCGCACTTTTCATTAACAAAAATCTCAAAGTGCTACACAGTGCCAATAAAATCAAAGATAAAAATCAACATCATAAAAATCATGTGGAGGCAGAATAGGCTTGCTTAAATAAAAAAGTCTTCAAGCCTCCAAATGGAATGAAATGACAAGAAAAGCAGCAGCTGGATGTGATTGGACTGATTACGCAGAAAACGAACCAACAAAACCATCACTGAACTGGAACAAAAGATCTTAGTAAACGAAAAAAAAAAACTGAAAGAAAAAGACACTAAAGACAAAAATAGAGAGCAAGAGAAAAGGCCTTATCAATATGGAAAGAGCCAAAAAACAAAAACAAAACACATCTCCTGAAAGTGAACATTAAACCTCCAAATAAAGAGATAAAACTAAACGGAAAAAAAAGGGTAAAATTCAAAATAAAAAGGTAAAATAACACAAAAAATAAAAAAAATAAAAAGAGATTGACTGATATCCAAATTACTGCTAAGAATCTTAAAATGTGCTCTACTTTATAGTCTGAGGAGCCCCTTCTCCTTATGATCACAGCAGCTTCTCTTTGGGGGCCTGTTTATTCCAGCAGAAGATGGAAACATTCACTTCTGACCATCTTTGCTGTCGCTGACTGAAAAGCCACCCCACAGCATGTACCTGCCACCACCATGCTTCCCAGTAGTGATTGTGGGTTCACATGGCTCTTTTGAGTCATCTGAGTTGTTTGATGTGTCAAAAAATGGGAAAATAGGCCTTTACCACTTCTTAGAAACAGAAGGCAATTTAAGCAATTTACTTTTTGATGATTAGTGGAACATAGAGGGTTAAAAAAAAAGCTTTCAAACCCAGAATGAAAAATAAAGATGTGTAAAAATTCTAACTCTACATCAGGTCTCTCTTATAATTAGTTGATTCCCTCACTGCTATTACACCGCCTGCCTCCACCCACACATCAGCTCTCACTTTCATGCCCGATCTCACAGCGCGCTCACCTCAATAACTTCACCTCAGCGCCGATTTTCTGTCAGATGACCATACCCTGTCAGTCCATCATACCCGTAGCCAATACGCATGCGCAAGACGTCACGTTTGCAATTAATCCCTTTAATTTTGTACGAAAAATAAAATTTAAACTACCTAATTTATGTATCTATTTAGTCATGTACAAAAAAAACTATTTAAGGTGAGATCACCATACACTTCAAAAAATACCAGAAAGTAAGTAATTAAATTGTTTTTTTTGTACATGAGTAAAGGAATACACGCCCATTGAGGTAGTTTAAAGTTTATTTTTAGCACAAAACTAAAGGATAAATGTGTTTTGACTATGAGTCTGCCGGTCTGACCAGGTATGCTCATCTGTCATATCAGACAGAACTCAGGCGCACCGGATGCACCTCTGCTGCAGGGATGATTATAGCATCGAGCAGTTAAGGTTCCTGCATAAAATGATGATCCTGTGATCCAGCATTTAGACGGAAGCTGCTCATGCTGGCTTTGTTGACTCGTCTTCTGCAGACACAGATGTTGCACTGATGTTTCTGTTTCTCATAGCATCCCTGTTCAGACTTCAGCGTGATCACACACTTTTTTGACAGGGTCCAATAAGAGCAACTCTTAAGGCAGAAAGAACTGTATATAAGTGCCCCCTGGTGGTAAAAACATGAGATGACTACGAGCTGAAATGAGCTCTTCATGCCATTTATCCGTTAGAGGATTTTTTTTTGTATGTGAGATAAAAAATTACAGATTTCATTAGAAGGAGTTGATTTAATTTATAAAAATAAATAAAATGTTTGTGTGTGTGTGGGTGTGTGTGTGTGTGTAGGCGGCTCTAGCAGAGAGCAGTTTGTCTCTGCTGAACAGCCCCCCTCTGGTGACCCCTCCGTCTGCAGCCAGCCTCAACATGCTGCATGTGGGCCACGACGATGTCAGCTCCACCGTGGAGCAGGTCAACAGCAATGGCAGCTGCAGCCCCACGCTCAGCCCTCAGCAGTACAGGTAGGACGCCTCGCAGCAACGCACTGGTTGGGGATGAAGAAAGTTTCTAGAAACACAGTTTAGGAAAAATGATCTTGCTGAGGTAAAAACACAGGGAGGTTAACTAATAATTGTTTTTGTGCAATTCAAAATTATGCAAACTGCAAAAACTGATCTGAAAATGAAAAATGATCTTAATTTTATTGTATTTGTCCTTAATTTGAGTAGCTAAATGAGATAATCTGCCAGTGGAGTGGGTATTTTTTTAGGCTTACAATAAAAGAATAAATTATTTCCTGTAAAGTTTGTTCAGGTGAATTGCATAACACATTACTAAATGCTGCATGCCCTCAATCACCGGTCTTTTCTCCGCGCTGCAGCCACCCAGTGCACGTGAAGGAGGAGCCCACCGAGGTGGAGGAGGACAGCCGACCAGTATCCCTCCTGGCCGGCGTCACACACAGCCTGCCGTTGCCAAGCGACGAGCGTGACCTGGAGGAAGATCTTCCTACCGAGGAGCTGGAGTAGGACCGGATCAAAGGGCCCGCTCTAAGATCAGTCCTTAGCGCTCTTTAATCAGCGTAAAGAGGAGAGAAAAAAACAGCATCCGTACACTTACAGAGAAAAGAGAAAGAAAAAAAAAGTTTTTTTTTTTTTTTTTTAGTTTGTTTTAAAGAGAGTTCGAACAACAGAGAATGACATTGAGAAACTCTAAAACAGGGTTTAGATGACTTTTGTTACATTCAGCCGCAAAAAACCATGACTGTGGAGCACTGCTTTACCTCCCCCGCCCCCCACCTCCTCCCCCCAACTCAGAGGTGTAACACCACTTTGTTCAGATACACTTTCTCCCAAAACCTGTGCACGCACACATGCACACACGTATAATTGTTTACCTGTCAAAACCACACCTGGGTGGAAAAACAAACATGTCTTGGGGACGAAACAAAAAAAAAAAAAAAATAAGAAATAGCTCCCATGAGTCTCGGATGTTCGCTCCTCATCCCACCTGACAGAGGCGCCTTTCCTCTCTGCTGAGGAGGAACACTGATGTGCGTTTGAAAGAAGACATGCACAACACATAGGATCATGTGTATATAGATTTAGTGAGGTCACCCGGGGGGGGCAGGACACCTCTTCTTCCCTCCCCTCTTTGAGTCAGACTTTTGTCATCAAACGCTTTGATATGAGAGGAATAAAAACGGGAGGAGGAAGAAGGACGGCGTCGCCCTGCTCCATATCTAGGCCTCCGTCAGCATCGGGACGATTTTTCTTTTCTTTTTTTAAACTATTTACTTCTCCTTAGAAGAAAACAAGACATTTTTTTCCTACAATTACCACAACCCACCCCTCCCCAACAAAGACTGCAGGAAAAGGTGCTCTTCTTCTTCTGCTCTCCGTCGCAGATGAGCTTCGGACACTTTGGAGGGGAAGAAGAAATGACGGGAGGCAGCGAGAGACGAGGGAGGAAGTGTCTACAGAAGCTTTGTGACAAAAAAAAAGAAAAAACTGTCTGTGATTTTGAGAAATAAGAGAAAAAAAACGTGTGGTAGCTTTTGTCATTTTATTTCAATGTTTTTTTGTTTTTTTTATTACCTTTGATGATCAATATTCCCAATTTGGGTTCGGATGTTTGTCTGTTTTTTTGTTTTATTTGTCGTAAAGGTTGTTTGATTTGCTCCTGTTGTTCGCACCATTCCAAATAAGCGTCGGCAAAATAACGAGTAGAGATTCTCTTATTTTTGTTCTGTTTTTTTTTATTTTAAAGATGCGCAGTATTGTCCCCCAAACATCCTGCCCCTCAACAGCTTTTTTCTCCCAAGTAAAGCAGGAAAAGAAAATTGGAAATAGCACTTAAAGAGTTCCCATTAACCACCAAACTTGTTTTTATTTCAACTCTTTTTTTTAAGTTGTGTATTTACTTAAGATGTATCTGTAATGCTTTAAAAAAAAACAAAAGTATATATATAAATATATATATCTGCAGTCAGAGAATACCTCATCCCACAAAGGTTCTTCCCAGAACTGTGTCCAAATTGATTAAGAAGAAGTAAGGGGAGATATTCCTTAGGTGGGACACTAAATGTGGCGACTCTGCTCAGCCTCAGTTCAAAGCTCTGTGGTTGTAATTGTTACTGTGTAGAAGCTCTCTGCGATTCACTGTGTGAGTTTGTGTTTTCCAGGAAATAGCACGCTAGACTTTATTTTTCCTTTCTTTGTTTCCTTTGGGCGTTGAAGCGTAACTTTTCTCTACAGTTTCAAACCAAATTTGAAGCATTTTTTTTACTTTGATCTAATATCCTCTTTGCCATGTTCCAGGTTTTTTTTTCTTTTTTTCTTTTCCTTTTTTTGTTACAGGTTACCAAAGAAATACGTAGAAAACCAAAAACCCTGTGCTTTATTTTACCCTTTTGTTCTTTTTGTAGTTTTATTTCTTCTATAAAGAAAAAACAAAAGAGAGAAAATGGGCCAAAAGATAAGAATCACTTTTTTTTTTTTCTGTAATGATACAGACATGAGCGTTGTTTCCTAAACTCGTAACGGATCATTCCAAAAAACCAAAGTGTGTAAAACAAGCTTGGATTTTAGGAACGACTAGAGGTCAGGTTGGAGGCCAAAAATGGAGACAGTTTGCACGGTTCCCCCTAAAATATACAATACAGATAGAAGAAAAGTGAGTCCTTGTTCTGCAAAGTCCTTGTTCTGCAAAGACTCACTTTTATCTTATCACTTAAATCTTGAACAAATACATCCCAAAAACTTGTCTCTATTAATTTTTTTTTTCAATATTGGCAGGTATCCGATCAAAAAAGAGGAACAAAATAAATATTTCATTGAAGTTCACTTAAGAGGACGTGAACCTCAGCAGGCCTCAAAAAGGGACACCGTCTAACAACGAGAAATTACTCCAAATAAATATGAAACATGGAGGAAACAACCCAGGGACACATTTCTGGTTTAGGGTGGTTTTTCTTTTCTGTTTTTTTTTTTTAGTTAAGGCCAAACTACATGTTTGTTTTCATAACCTTTCCAAGGATTTTATGTTTAAACAGGATATCTTCTTGTTACTAAAGAGACAAAGTGCAAAACGCAAAGCTGGCAGGTAGAGATGCTTACAAAAGAAAAAAAAATAACCAAAAAATAAGACTACCTCCTTTTCAAAATCGTTCAACACAAAGTCAGAGGGAATCTTAACTATCTACTCTTCCTCCACAATAACACCAAGAATGCCAAAACTGAAGTTACACCGACTTTACAACAACGGTAGCCCGATATTAGGAGACATCCAGCTGTGAGATTACTGTTGAATGTTGTGATGCTATTGATTCCAACTGACTCGCCTTTTTCTTTACTCTTTCCGTTTCCATCATCCCAACATTCCTGTCACCTATAAGGAGCTTTTTTAGGATCTCAGTCTCTACGATCTGTATTATAAAACACAGGGAAGCTCCAGGTTTTAATTCATACCTGCAGTAATACCATAGACTAACAAACATCCGGTCTTTTTTTGTGATTGCGACAACATCCGCATTTTTTCAAACTATTTTTAACGTGACTTCCTTTTTATTTCAATTGAATCCAGAAAAAAAAGGTTCATCTTTTTATAAAAACGACTACCTCTCTGTTAGCTGCATCTTGCAAAGAAATATATTATTATTATTTCACCAGATCAGCAAAGTTTTGCTGTTAATTTCATAACAAAACCCATTGTTATTGGTTATTACCAGAAAGGTACAAAGACCCAGTCTACAAAAACAATCAAGGTCATCGAATCTGTAAAACTCACCACTACTAGTCAGATCTAAACCAGGAGGAACCGCTGGCGTCCAGAAACTAGTCGATTACTTATGCTTTAAGGTACACCTGTAAACAACTGTTTTATAAATAAACCTAGATTGTTCACAGGTCACATTGCTTTCTTTAGCTTGGCATAACATGATGCATTCTGTATATTAATGCTTGGCTTGTCTCTTTAATGTTTCTTGTTTTTTATTTTTGTTATTGTTGTAGAGCTTTCAACCTGGATACCTATTCTGTATCGCTAATGCTGAATATATGTATTTATCACATTAAGTGCTGCAGGTATCTTGGTTTTCCTTTTTTTTTTCCTTTATTGTTTCCATTTTTTTTTTTTTTTTTTTTCATAAAAACGTCTGGGACGCATTTTTTTAAGTGTATTATCAAAAAGAAAAAAAGGAAAAGAATTGAATTTAGGTCAGTGGTTTAGGAACACCTGTTTGTATATTTATCTTAGCTAGATCTATTTTGATACCTTTTTGTCTCTGTATGGCATTTATGCATTTTTAAAGAAAAAAAAAAAAAAGCAAAACAAATGGAAAATGAACTAAAAAGTTTCTTCAGTGTTTATTGATACCTCAGATGGACTTTTTTTTCTCTCAAAGACAGGACCAAAACCTCTAAAAAGAAGATGAGAAAAAGGAAAAAACAAAATAAGATAATGTAGCCCCTCTCTTGCTTTAAAGAAAAAAAAGTATTGCTGTTGGTACTTTCCGATGCCAACATGTGACGCCTCCCTCTAAACCCCTGACCCCCCGTCATTCCTGTGCCGAACTCCGACCCGCAGAGCTGCCAATCTTCTGCAGGAGCCAAGGGCCCGAGTCAGAAACCAAACAGGTGGGGACTCGCTGCAAACTGTTTCTCCAAGTCGAGCGAAAGGCGGATTAATGACTGACACTGTTGCTTTTTTTGGTTGTTTTTAGTATTATTTGTTGTTGTTGTTATGATACTCCTCCTTTTCCTCAAAACCAAAACGTGGAGTGGCTCTTTGAGATGCAGCTCTGACTACCAAAGGCATTGTGAGCCAACATTGCTTTAGTCCAAACTCCTGAACTGTAACCAAAACCAATGTCACAACTTTAACCAACCAAAAAAAAAAAAAAAAAAAACACAGAGCTACTTCCAAATCTCTTCATCTACATCTCTTGCCGCCCTCACTGATAGCAGCTTCCCCTCATCCGGTCCACGTCCCTTTTTGGCCTGCGTCCTGATGAGTGATTGGACAGTTCTGAGGCATCATGGGAGGGGAAAGGGACGCTCAAAGTGGAGCTTTTTTTTGCCTGATGGTATTATTACATAGACAGCCAGATTTTGATGGAACTACCACTTTAACGATCCTCTGGTTAAACCTTAGGAATGTGTGTACATTTACAGCAGTGACTCTGTTTCTTGATTCTTAGTTGAGTTGACCTGTTTACCTCTTTATTCCTCTGGTTTTTGTTTTTTTTCTTGTTACGTTTCTTGTTGTTTGAAAGTGTGACCCGAGGAAGAGGCGGGAGCAGGGACCTGGGCAGTTGCTTTAGACAGACAGACAGACGATGAGCCCGCGGCCCTCCGACCCTCCTCCCCCCGGGGTAGCCATGTAATGCCAGTCACTGCCCTTTTCCTTCATGCTGTATAAAAACACACACACATATATCTGTGTATTTGTAACCTGAATCTTCTTGTGTCTGTTCATGCAGACAATAAAAAAAAACTGTACAGTAGGTCTAGTTGCATGTAATCTGTACTAATTATTGACAATGGCATTATAAAATGCAATAAAATACTTATTACACTGTCTGAGGCTGCATCCGCATTTCTCCTGTTGATGTCCTCACCGGGGTTACCATAGTTTACTGGACACTGAAATGGAGAAAACATTTTCCCTACCTGAAATAAAAACAGTTTTACGAAGAAGGGCTGGAATAAAAATAATATTTTTGTCATGAAACAGAAAAGAAACGAGAAAAAAATTTATGAAAACAAGCTTTTTTTTTTTACCAATCCCCGAAAAGTTGCAGTGGAAGTGCAACTAAACACAAGCTGCGAAACATGCCTGTAGATCCAGCAGGCAGGCCCTGCCATTGTAAACGCATTAAAACATAATGTTTTCAGCTAGTGGTGTTACAGTAGATTATTAGCTATATCCGACAATAAAAAAAGTGTCGGGCTGACTTTGCTCTGCGCAATGGACACTAATGGAGTTCATCAGGTCGGTGCAGGTTAAAAAGCAAACAGCAAATTCAATTCATTGCTGAAGTCGATCCATCATCCAGCCCTTTTTAAAAGGCAGAAACTAGGCTGTTGGACCACCCAAAGACACTTCTGCAGCGGCTTCAGATTTTTTCCACCCAGTTTTGCATACATTTTTCACCAAGATCCTAGTGAAAGTGTGTGGCCTGGCGGCTCCATAAAGCTTTTTCTATTACTTCCCAAAGTGGGTTCATGAGTAAAAATTTAATATTTTTCTCCCTGCACCGCTTTTTGACTAGTTGAACCTTGATGGATCCTGGCATTATCAGCGTGGAATCAGGGAAGAAAACAAATCGTTGGACTAACCTGCTGATTCAGTATATTCAGGTAGTCAGCTGACCTCATTCTTTGATATACATTTAACTATACTATATAGTCCAACTGACCAACCCTAGTTACCCCAGATTAGAGGACAGGTTGGTATACAGGTGCTGGTCATAAAATTAGAATATCATGAAAAAGTAGATTGATTTCAGTAATTCCATTTAAAAAGTGAAACTTGTATATTATATTCATACATTACATACAAACTCATATATTTCAGATGTTTATTTTGTTTAATTTTGATGATTACAAATGACAACAAATGAAAATCTCAAATTCATCATATCAGAAAATTAGAATATTACTGAAGACCAATAAAAACAAAGGATTTATAGAAATGTTGGCCAACTGAAAAGTATGAACATGAAAAGTATGAGCATGTACAGCACTCAGTATTTAGTTGGGCCTCCTTTGGCCTGTATTACTGCAGCAATGCGGCGTGGCATGGAGTCGATCAGTCTGTGGCACTGCTCAGGTGTTATGATAGCCCAGGTTGCTCTAATAGTGGCTTTTAGCTCTTCTGAATTGTTGGGTCTGGTGTATTGCATCTTCTTCTTCACAATACCCCATAGATTTTCTATGGGGTTAAGGTCAGGA